TGAAAATTTTATATTTTATGAAATAAAATTAAAATATGGTAAGGATAATGTTGTATTTTCAAAACAGTTTTTCGCAGAATCTCTAAATCGAAGCTTATTTTTTTTTATGATGTACGGAAGCACTTATCAACTTTTTAAAAGCCAAGTTTTAGAGGTGTTTAGCCCTGCTTCAGCTTTTGAAGTCAAATAATAATCCTAAAAATCGGGCCAAAATTAGACTATATAAAAGAAGGTAAACAATAGCAAAGAACATGAATCACATGATGAACCTTTATTCATTAAAGAAGAAAACATTGTTTATCTTTACGAATAGAATGGCTTGTCATTCATCATTATTAATTATCTCTATACAAAAGCATCCAGTGGTGGGATCTCTATGTGGATCAGGCCACCATTGCAGCTGGAGCAAATTAAACCAGTGATGTTCGCTTTAGTTGCGTTGTCCATTACACAGCTGGTTTGTCACCCATCATTATACATCCATCCGAAACTAGGTCCGTAAACTAAGCTCCAGGGGAGTAAGTTACAAAAATGGCGGTTCTTCTGATGTAGTGGTTGGCACGTATTCTTTGGCAGTACGTCTTTCCCATTTCAGCCATTCAGTGCTCACTGCTCAGTGGTTGAACTTGAAGTGGCGCATATCTCTTCAGTTGGCTTTCGTTTTCCAGTTTAGCAGCAAAGCAGAGAACTGGCTCTCTTCTATTGGCCACTTTCCCACTTTCCAATTGCGTCCCCAAAACTCCAACTTGATGAATTGCATTTGGGAACTCAGGGTTCGTTTGGAAGTTGCGATTGTTAAATAGATGTATTGTTGAGAATACATGTATAATATTATACATGTATTATCGAATTTGATGGATTGTAGAATACAACGTTTGGTATGTGTGATTATGTATGTCGCATCAGTTAAAAGCTAAGACAAAACAATCTCAACTCAACTATCTCAACAATCACAACTAAAAGTTGAGATATAACAATCACTCAAAATGAGTGATAGTTTCTGTCACATCACAGAAACAATCCATGTATTGTTTATGCTAAAAAAACAAAAAAACGAGGCATTGTAAACAATACATGCATAATGACAATCTCAACAAAACTATCGCAACTTCCAAACAATTCTCAGTTTACAATTATGTTATAGTTTCCAAAGGAAGCAGGGAACTCAAATTTGGCAAAAGATCTGTGCTTTAGATTCTTGTTCGCTTCGGGCCAAACCCACACGGTTTTACTCTTGGTTGTTCTCCTCAAAAGACCTCGTACTAATTGGGATAGGTGGACACTAATATACAAGGGTTGCTTCCTTTATATTTCCGATGTGGTACTTGGATTGTACCATAACAATCCCAGTACCGGGTAATGCTTCCAATTGTCTAGTTTCAACGTGGTTGTTTGTGCTTGCGTCTGTATTCATCTTGTAGACCTCTGTGGGCTGCTTCTTACACCTTCCATCTAGGGATGGCAATTATGCCCATACCCATGGGTATTTTACTATCCAACCCAATTGGGTTGGGTATGAAATCCAAATATATTGATATGGGTAAAGTTTGATGGGTTTGTACCCATACCCATTTACTTTGGGTTGGGTTGGGTTTATAACAAATGGATTTGGGTTTGTACTCATGCCCAAATACAAATTACAGTTTGGTACCTAAACTTAATAGATATTCATATTTAGTACCTAAATTTAATTTTTTTGCATATAAGTCCTCAAAATATCGATGGAAAATTACGTTTTGGTACCAAAAAAATTTGTCTTACATTTTGGTACCTAAATTTTTCAAGTTTAACAAATAAGTCCAATTTTTGCATGTGTAGTTAAGACACCCTCAAGTAAATGGATATCCATATTCAACTCATACCCATTTAGATAATATCCATATCTAACCCAAACCCATATACAAACCCCAAACTCATACATACATCACCCAAATCCTACCCATAATAGATGAATCTACTTGGTTTGGGCAAAATTACCCATGGATGAGTAAATTGCCATCCCTACTTCCATCCTTATGATTCTGATTGTTGCTCCATCTCTTCTCTTTTACTTGGACTTCACTGTACTCTTTGAATAAAATCCTCAGCTTCAGAAGGACTTGCCAATCTTGAAACAAATGATTAATTATGCAGAGTTGTTGATCATTTCCTTGCAAAAGGTACCACAACAAAGCACACCAGCGACCCAACTCCTCCGACGCTTCTTGAAGGATTCTTGAAAGCAAATTTCTGCAAGGTACAACTGCTGCAATGTAAAGAGATTTATGAGGGGAGAGTGACTCTGTTGATGTGTGTTACATCCGTAGACCGATAGTCTAATTCAAATCATATCTACAATCACTACTCAATATACAGTATTACGTAGACTCTTTTAATCACAGTTCGGATATTCATCTCCAAGATTCTTGAATTATACTAATTTTTCACCAACAGGGAGGATCTTATGTGCAACTTTCTACATTAACCGGTCGTTTGCTTCGTTGATTTTAAAAATGAAGGTTTTACTCAAATTTGGGTTTTATAAAACCATGAATATATGAGGGTTTTCGGTTCACTATGGACTTGTAAAATAACATTGTTTGTTTCATAGATTTCATGATGGTTTTGGTTAGTAGATATGTATGAATCAAGTGAAATTGACCTATATTGACCTTATTAGTATGAGAATAGAAAGAACATAGGAAGGGCAAATTGGTCATAAATGATGTAATTAAAAATTCATGATCAATTCCCACCTAAAGTGGTAGAGCTTTCAAATTCGTGGACCCCATGGATTTGAATCCATAAAATTTTGTGGGCCCACGGATTTGTTGCCCCTAAATACATCAAGTAAACAATGAAATTTGGAAAAAGTTCATGATAGATCCAAATCTCTTATCAAATTCCTCGATCGAACAACCCCTAAAACATTCAGTTTTCCTCACACGTTTAACCACCAAATCCACCTCCAAATCCCAATCATTGCTCCTTGGGCTCTAGTGAGGGAATTGGGGGTAGATCTAGTATTGAAGACTAGAATGGGAGATGTTAAGAACAAAATTTATAAGTCTAGCATAGTGAGGGAGGGGAATTGTGAATTTTGGAGGTAATACTTAGCTTTTAACTTCTATTTTATTATAAATTCTTAAGGTTTAATATACTTACATAACCATAATTTTCGCGATTTTGACAACAATAGCCACTTTTTGAAATATGCACTGTTTAATACTTTAACGAAAAAGTCACAAATGCTGAGTAGACAAACGTTTGTTACTGATGTGGTAGTATTTTCCACAAACTTGCATATATGGATTTTTTAAATTTTATTTTCATTAAGTTAAATAAAAATTAAAAAAAGGAAAAATCATCTCCCCATCGGCCAACCCCACCCTTTCATTTTCCTCAAACTCTCCACAAAACCTTCCGTCATCGAAACACATACTACACGACAACGCCACTACCGGTCACCTCGTGGACCTTGAACCCTTATCGATGTTGTCTGCACCTCTAACAGTTACCCTTGCCATTAAACCCCGAGCTGCTGCACGAAAATTGATATACACCGACGAATATGGAGATGTGGGTTTGGGGTCTTCTTGGTCGTGTGAAAGAGAAAACAAGGGTTCTGGGTTGTGGGAGATTGGTTTTTGTGGGTTGTGGCTTTGGTCTTGATATTTCTGTCGTTGTGGCTCCGGTGAAGCAGGTCCCCGAACTTCCACCATCACTAGATCTAGAAAACCCTCTTTTACCTCCTGTCTCTGTCTCTCAATCGGTGATTTCAGCGAAACATTCATCGACGATGGCCAAAAGGGACATGGAAGAAGAAGCTTCGATCTACCCAATTCCCCAAACTTGGAGCTAGAGCTGACATATCTGTAATCATCGTCAAAAGCATGGTCAGAACATAACCCGCAGCCTCTATAGATGTCGTATTTGGCAATGGGGGATTAGGGGGTTGCGTTTTACAGTGGGGAGGATTCGGGGATTGGGGTTTCGATGGGGGATTGGGTTTTCCGGTAGGTGATTGAGTGTGCGGCGGCAACGGTGTAGCAAGGCAGTGAAATCTTCCACCGCAGCCGGAGAAGCCGACCTGGGCCTTTTATGATACTATTCTCAACGAATTCAATGGAGAATGGAGGAATTTGGATATCGATTAAGGGAAGAGAAAGAAGAATTGAGAAAATAAGAAGGTAGAAAGAATAAAGACGAATGTAAGAAGAAGAAGAAGAAGAAGAAGAAAAGAAAGAGTAAAGTTGTAGGAGTTGATTTATTATTTATCTGTTATTAATTTATTTTTATTTTAATTAAAAATATGATGTGGCAGATAGGTGGCAATGCTTGTTGTGTTGGAGCTTATGTGGCAATTGAGGTGGCATCCACATCAGCGTTTTGTTAACAGTGTTAAATTTTTTTACGAAAATGGCTAATTTTGTCAAACGAGTTTCCAAAATGTGCCTACAATTTTGTATTTTTCAAAAAGATATTATTGTCAAAACGTGAATAGTTATGGCTATGCAAGTGAATTAAGTCAATTCTTAAAGGAAGATCCAAAGTATATATTTATAAGAAAAACTACAAAATTTTCTTTAATCAAAGTTTATATCAAAATAGGGTATTGTCAAAAAAAAAAACCCTTATGACGTGGAAGCTAAGACGCAACCACCTCAATATTATATGTTGAATCATAAATAAATAAATAAATAAATGTTTGACCATCAATATTAACGTTCAACTTAAAATTTGAACCATATTTGTCCATTTTCTTTCAAAACTCAGATTCTACTATCTTATCTGCCGGGAAAAAATATATTTTATATCGAAGTTTAGGTCAAAATAAGTTATTATCCAAAAAGAAAACAAACAACAAACTCCAATTAAAAACAATTACTTGTTCGAAAATGAAAATAAATCCCATTACAAATTACAACGTTGAGTCGCTGGCAGACTAGCAGGTACAAAACGGCGCCGTGGACTGGCTGTTAAACCCAAGGCACGTGCGTGGGGGCGGAAGAGAGAAATACCGTAAAGCCAGTCTGGCCCGGCGATCAATCATAGCAGGGCCAGGGGGAGAGAGAGGGAGAGTTAGCGCGAGAAAACTGAAAAACAGAAAGGAACAAAGGTCATTGCTTTGTTTTTGCCGGCGACCCCAACAATCAAGTGATCGATTCCTCCGCTCTCGCAAATTAAAAAGCTATGCCCTTTTTCCCGATGTGAGGCTTTCTCATCCCCGATCGGCCAGGAAGCGGGTGGAAGAATTGAATTAGTAAAGCAATGAAAGGCGTCTTAGCGGCGCCGGGAGATTATGTCCACTTCAAGTCCCAAGTTCCTCTCCATAAGATCCCCGTAAGTCCTGAATACCCAATTCCCATTCATCTCTCAATTTCCCATCTTTTGTTGCTGGGTTCATGGGAAATTGGATTTTGGGGTATTATTAGTTACTTCCAGCTAGGTAGAGGGTTGGCTGCACACTTCTTTTTTTCACAAAGTCTATTTTCTGCTGGATTGCCCATGATCATCTTAATCTGGGTGTGTGCATTGTATGTGTTGAAGTTGATTCTAGCTCCTACTTCGGATTGGTAGTCTGTACTAGAATTGGGAGATTTGGCTTGAGAGTAATTCATTAAAATGTTTGTGCTTGTCAATTGCTGGACATGTGTTCTTTCCTGATCAATTTATAAGTTGCAAAGGGTTTTTCGTTCGGCATTATCGTATCATAACTATGGAATCTCTGGATGGTGTTCTGATATTCTGCTGCTGATCTTGTTCTTTTGTAGCACAATAGGTTTCCTCTTTCTAGCTTGGTATCTTGTAGTGTCGGTTCTTTATTAAAATGTGCTTTCTTCCCTTCTTTCATGTTTTGTTTTCCTCATATAGATTGGATCAAAGCAGTGGCGGTACTATGATTTTGGTCCCAAAACGGTGGCTCCGCTGATATGTCTTCCTGGGATAGCAGGAACCGCGGATGTTTACTACAAACAGATTATGGCATTGTCCATGAAGGTAATTTTCGAGCTGTCTTGCTATGTTATTTCAACTGTCTACAGAGTTGGTATTTGAATGGTTCAATTGTATCTCGGAAGAAGTTCTAGCAACAGGCTGATATATCACATCAGAGTGTTGGAGACGATATCATATTAGATACTATAATGCTCCATCCACGTGCTTAAAAGTCAGCGGAGGAATGATGCTTTGGCCTTGGCGTTTCTCGGGTTATTTTTTGGATTTATGATTCTTGTCTGGATAAACCTCACAAATGCTTTAGGGTAGATTTTATATCGTCCTATCATCTATCGAATCTGTTGGTAGTTTGTAGATTTGTGGATGCATGCTGATTTAGAATTTCTTCAATGTCGAACTAATGATTCATTACTTATTCAATATAAGGGCCTTTGGATTGTATTTCACAACATGTTCAAAATTTGTCAGGGTTATCGGGTGATCGCTGTTGATATTCCACGCGTTTGGAATCATATGGAATGGATTCAGGCGTTTGATAAGTTTTTAGATGTCATCAATGTTCATCATGTAAGAATCTTTCTCAATATGCCTTTGTTCTCTGTTTATCTTTTTTTTTTTTTACAATGTTCTCTGTTTATCTTTTTGTTGAACAGTTTGTTCTCTCTTCCTATATTTGTGCTGCATATGCTTTTGAATTGTTCGAGGCCAACAAATTCTTGCTGTCCTTCATTTTCATGGCACAATCATGTTTACCTCGTCTATTAGATGAACTAATTTTATTGTAAATATGACAGATGCACCTCTATGGTACATCTCTTGGAGGCTTCCTGGCTCAAATATTTGCTCAGCATCGTCCAAGGCGAGTGAAATCATTGGTCCTATCAAATACATTTTTGGATAATCGGAGTTTCGCAGCTGCTATGCCATGGGCACCTTTGTAAGTGCTATGATCATATATCTATCCCATGGAAAATTGTGGTGTTTTCATATAGGACAGAATCTAAATTCATGAACTTATCACTTAAAGATTTTCATCCTCCAGATGGTCAAAGCATAATCGATTGGATGTGGCTAATGGATTTTTCTTTGCTCACTTTCTATTTTTACGTTCATCGCTAATTTTCTTTATATTATCCGTGTCGTGACTTTAATGATACATAGATGGACCTTCTTTTTAATGAACTTCTTATAGAATACCTTTGTTGCTTAAATGGTTCCTAGCTTGCTGGAGAATGGTTCTTATACTATTCATACTGATTTCGTAAGTATACTTAGATATACATCTTCATCGAAAAACTAACTTCCAAAGTACTCATGGTTCCTGCAGTGTTAGTTGGACACCTTCGTTTTTGCTCAAACGATATGTCTTGACTGGGATTCAAGATGGGCCCCATGAACCTTTTATTGCGGATTCAGTAGACTTTGTTGTTTCTCAGGTACAGTCAAAACCATTTGGTCTATTTACACATTTACTATCCTCCAGTTTGAAACTTACTTGCCAATGCTTCTCATCAGGTCGAAACACTTTCAAAGGATGATCTAGCATCAAGGCTAACTTTGAATGTTGATGCCGCATCGGTTGGATCTCTGCTCCTTTCTGACCAATTCATCACCATCATGGATGTGAGTTTTACCTGAACCTGTTCCAGCTGCTAGCCAACTTTGTTGTATATACAATGCTAGTTTTTTTTCTTTCTCACTGCTGTCTTTTGGTTATCCTGCTTACTCCTTAAAAGACGAATGACTACTGTGCGACACCTCAGCAACTGAAGGATCAGTTGAGCGAGAGGTACCCGGAGGCAAGGCGAGCTCAGTTGAAGAGCGGTGGCGATTTCCCATTTCTTTCACGGCCAGATGAAGTCAACTTGCATCTCCAGGTCAATAATCTACTGTAACTAACTAGCTCAACGGACAAGGAAGCATCTTTTACTGATATCTCATGGTTGCACAATTATTTGCAGTTGCACCTGAGGCGAGTTGGGGTAGAACCTCAACCTGCGATGGTGAGGGGCATTCCACCTGGAAGTGGGACTGGAGGAAGTCAAAGCAAAGAGAAAGATGAGGAGGAGGAAGAAGAAGACCGACATGGTCCATCGAAAGATGGAGGGAACTCTGCAGCAAGCTCTTCTTCAGGTAGTGATCCGCTGCCTTTGCCTCCTCCAGAGAGTTCCGAATCACCACCCACCAGTTCTGATCAGCTCCTCAACAAGGATGTTTTGGTCGCACGGAGTTATGGTGCAATGGCGGCATTTCTTCATCACTTGGTTGCTTCTTACGTGGGATATGTGTACATTAGTTTGAACTATGGTCGGGATTCCAGACAAATGTTAATGTAGCGACGATGGGTGTGCATGCTGCTGCTTTGAATTTTCTACAAGCGATTTAGTGCGAACGAATTGAGAATCTGGTGTTTGGTAGTGGTGTTGCTTTGCACATAACCCATGTCTTCCCATGTCTGGCATTGTTGTAAATTTGGCGTTCAATGGTTCTTTCATAAGTTTTCAGTTAGGTTCGTGGTTTCCATGAGATTCCGGCCAGACCAATGTTTATCGTACGATTTTAAACTGCTTTTACAAATAGGCTTTGTTTGAACTGTCAGACTTCACAAGTTCATCTTAGTTTTGCCTTATTGTTTGTACTTTATTACATTGTTTTATTCTTTTCAGGAAGCTGGCTGCAAGTAACACCCTAATCCATTAGAATACTTTTAACATTGATATTCGATATTCAACAAGCTAGCATTGCATTTAGGTTGTCAAAATATGAACTCCTAATGCATCAGTACGTCTCCGGACAAAGTCTCCAAGCTCACAGAGAAAGTGAAAGACAAAAGTCATCAAGACTTCATCAGGTTCTTGCTATGCTATTCATAGGACGAGGAACTCTATTCAAATGGTAGGGTTCACGTTTCCTCATAGACCATAGTCATAACATATCTTCAAAGAATAACCATGGAGGCATAATGTCTGGCAAATCTATTCTCAAAATTTCATTTTACGCTGAATGATTCATTTTTAAGTTACAGAATTCTGAAATCATAGTAACACAAAAGGAATCTCAATGTAGCTTATAATTGTTGGAGCAAAAAACCCCCAGCATACAAGAAAGGAAGAACAAGATGCCTGTAACTGGAAACAACAAAAGGAACAGCAAGTTAATGCACTTGTAGAAAGCACCCATCGCTAAACCCTCAAAAAACCATCTACAAGGTCTCTCATGGTTGTCAGCAACAGATTCCATTAGCACATTTGCAACAAAACCTCAACTCTACCCAGCTGTTGTCCTTGTCTTGCAACCTAAGCAACCAGAGTACTTGCTGTAGTTGACTCGCTGCATCCAAAGAGAAAAAGGAGTATCAGCAATGCAAGTCATGTAAATCAGTCATTTCTATTAAGAGATTCAGCCAAGATGTCATCTAATTGGAAATATCATGCACCAGATGAAATGTTTTGCTATCAAAGTACATGTTAGAGAAGTAAGAGCAGCAAAAAATTTAGCTCATTGATCTGGTTCATCTTGCAGAAGTAAGAAGAGTTAAAAACATGGCTCATTCACACAGATCAACTATACTTATGGCTACCGAGCCAGAATAGAGAGGGCAGTTTGTATCCCTCATTTAGCTCTGGTTCTTTTATGCTACTATTTCTAAGTAGTTGTGACCATAGTAGAATCAAAAGGAGATCACGGAGTGCTTTCATGCACAATATCTGCCTCCATCACTCCATGGAAGAACCCTCCATCTCTAAATGATCATCTCAATATCTGCCTCCATAACTCCATGGAAGAACTCTCTGTCGCTATGAACATCTCAATAACCCATAACAACACTAACTAAATGCCTCCGTATCACACCCATGCCGCCATTACATTATATAAGGAGAGGAATCGAATCAAAATTCTCAATTCAACACAAGTGCAAAATTTTCCGTCATTGCAAAGTTGAAGATATAAGTGGGGAACAATGGCGGTATAGAAAGGAAAAACTCACTATTTCCAGACGGGAGGGAGCTTCTTGGTGCTCTTGTAGTAGCGGGCGAGCCTGTGAATCCTGCTCTCCACCAGAATCAGCCTGAACTTGGAATCCTTATCCTTCCTGTTCCTCTCCAGATGCTTGCGGACAGCCACAGCCTTCTTTATCATATGGTAAAGATCCTCTGGGATCTCCGGCGCCATTCCACTGGCTTTCAGAATCCTCAGAATCTTGTTCCCCGTCACGCTCTTCACCTGAGCAATACCGTGAGAATCCCTGAGGATCACGCCGATCTGCGACGGCGATAGACCCTTCTTCGCGAACTTGCAGATGTTCTCTTCAACCTAGACAAATTCGGAACAAAGAGAGTGAACTCGGGGAAACGATGAGAAATTGAAGGAAAAAGGAAGAAACGGCGGAGATTACATCTTGAGCAGTTGTTTTGAGCCAACTGTGGGGAGTGCGCTTGTACTTGGCAGCAGATGCGGAGATGCCTTTCCTGGTAAACAGAAACGAGATCAGAACAAATTACGCCATTGAAATGCGATACGGAGAGGGAGATAGAGAGAGAAGCGAACCCGCGGCTGTGCATACGACCCATGGTGGAAGGAAGCGGCGGGTTTTCTGACGGATTAGGCGGCGGGGCTGCGGCGTTGAAGCTGTGAAGAGGATGGAAGCTGTGAAACAAGTAGAAAGCGTAACGGGGTGACCTAGTGACTGGATTGCGGTTTGGGTTTTATATTCAGGGAAGATGTAACGTGGATCCTCATGTGTGGGCTTTATAAATTGGGCTGACGGCCTAGTAGATCAACATAAACATTTGACGGCCAATAGGCCGGTGTTGTCGGCCCAAATGACAGCGGCGGGGTTGAGGTTGGCGCCTGGTGGTGTCTGGGCAGGGTAACGGATTGTTTGATTAGGGTTTTGGTTAGAGATTGGGGTTAGAGGGTAAGATTGTCAATTTGGTGCATTTTAGGGCGACAAAAATTGAATTTTAGGATGACGAATAGCGATTCAGTAGATTATAGGCTAAATTGCGAGTTGGTCACTTGAATTAATAGTAAATCTCACGTTCATCACTAGAATTACTTTATTTCATCCGTAGTTACTTAAATTTGGTTAACAGTTCTTGATTGTGACATTTTTTTGTTTTGATTATTTTTTAAATTATTGTAAATGATGGGTTGGAAATTATTAAAAAAATTTTTTTTTTTTAATTGCCACGTCACTCATTTAATGGTCAACTATAAGAGTTGACCGCCACATCAACAAAAAAGTTAACGGAGACTAACGACCAGTGACCAAACTTGAACTGTTAACCTAATTTAAGTGACTACAGATGAAATAAAGTAATTCTAGTGGCTAACGTGAAATTTACTAGTAATTCAAGTGACCAAACTTGCAATTTAGCCTTAGATTATAGGTCCATTTTGGAGAATGGAAAGGGTGCTAAATGGTGGTTGCGTGCATCATGATCATTTATTTATGTTTTTTTTCTCTATTTTCGAGTGATATCAAGAGAGGGAAAAAGTTATACAATAACAGTGTTTTAAGCATCATTCTACCCACAAATTCCCTACAATCAACATTCTAGTGAAGTCACCCAAAAAAGCTGAAAGACTCTAATTCTAGGAGAGACAATAACAGTGTTTTAAGCGTCGTTCTATGGGCAGCACTGTTGACGGCTCTAGAAACCGCCCTAAACTCTAAACAAACTGACAAAGAGTCTAAGACCTTACGATACTCCTGAAGCACCGGACCTCCGAAGGAATCTTCTTGAACAACTTGTCGGATCTAGTTGACGGCCACCTCGGAATCACCTTCCACTATCACGTGAGTCAAGGATCTTGAGGCGACAATGGTGATAGCATCTCTTAGTGCTAGGAGCTCTGCCAAGTAGGGGTTGACTACTCTCTGGTGACGCATACCGGTTGCCAGCACCACATGCCCGTATGACCCACGGATAACAAGATCATATGAGCACACTGAGTCACGAATAGCTGCATCGAAGTTGATCTTATGATCATTTGTTTATGTGCCTTTAAAGAGTTTTAGAGCTGGATATTTTTCTTATGGCGACAAATTATCACTCTCACTAAACATTATTTTTCGTGATAAGAAAAATATAATAAAAATACTATACGAATAAGTTGCATATATGATATATGAGTATTTTGTTTTATTTTTAAATGAATGATATGTCTAATAGCATGTTAATTATCATAAAATAAATTATATTAATTATGTCCAAAACGTATAATAATTTTTGAATTATCAATTTAATTAATAAAAATATGAACATTAAATGTATTATATTGGTATTATACGTGTTTAATATGGTTAGGGGTGTGCAATGGTTCGATCAGATTCGATCGTACCAGACTCATGAAAAATGTGGTCCAATAGTGAATCACACATCTTAGGACTAATGACTGGACCAATATTGCATTCGATCCAAATGTCTATTTGGTCTTTTTATTGTTGTTGAGTGACTGTAAATTTCATGAGACCAAGAATCACACCACATTATTTTCGGTTTGATATTGTACAAATGATTGCAACCATGAAACAGGTTTGCAATAGTACGTAAAGGAAATTTTGAAGATTACAAGAGCACATGATTTAATATCATCTTTAATAAGCATTAATGCCTGCCCATTAGCATACATATAAGAGCCCAGTAGTTTTCTAAAAAAAAAGAGCCCAGTAGAGTTGCGACGTAGGACCTAGGTAAGGGAGCAGCAGCTTAACAATTAGGCTGAATCGCCAGCTGTTTGGAAATGGACTTGCCCCAAATCACAAACCTCGTCGTTTTCCTGCCTTCCACTCCCTTTATATAGGCCACAAAGCCCGCAACAATAGGACTCATTTCATCATTAGCAGCGGCGGATCCAGAACACAGTAGAGCACTGGGCCGCATTTTATTAGAAAATTCGATATCGTGAAAAAAATATTATGATTATAGTTTTTTTTACAATGTCAATTGTACACGACGGTTTTTTAATTTAGCGAATGCATCAATAATGAAATCTACATACATACCAACTATGTTTCAAATAAGATACTTGAGCAATCAGCGAGAAATTCATCGCTCATTTTGTTGCGCAAATCAGTTTTCACATGTTTCAAAGGTTCTCTCCGTGGTAGCTATTGAAACGAGAAGCATCAACACTAGACAAATCAATTTGCACTGTGTGTCCATCCATATATCTACAATGCTGCTCTAGTAAAATTTTAAGGGAATAAACCTCATATTTCTTTTAGTTTTTTACGCTTTAGACTTTAGGATTTTTAGTTTTCATTGTTTTTTTAGACGAAAAACCTTTGGGGCAAGAATTTCTAGGATAAATTTAGAGTAGTGAATTGAATATGTTCATCTGAATCATTTTTTCTAATTATACACAATCATATTATAAAATAACACTGGGCTGAATGACTAAAACCGACAAATTTATAAGAATTATTCTAACTCCGAATCCAGAAGAGGGCTGGGCCGGGGCCCGGGGTGGCCACCCCTAGATCCGCCAATGATCATTAGCCCTAGACAACAACAAACACACGTCAAAGCCAACATGGTTCTCAACTTTCCATTCTCCCGCATGCTTTATTCCTTCCGGCCATGGTACACAGCCGCAGTAAAAGGAGACAGCATCAGCGCCAACTACTTCATCGTAACAGCAATCCTTCTGGTGCTATCGACGGGGCTCCTCCTTTCCCACTTCCTCAGAAGAAAGCAGGCCCCACTGCCTCCCGGCCCAACAGGGTTGCCGCTGATGGGTTACCTCCCCTTCCTTGGGCCTCACCTCCACCGCGAGTTCACCGCTCTCGCCGCCACCTACGGCCCAATCTACTCGCTGCGGCTTGGGACGAAGCTCTGCGCGGTGGTCAGCTCCCCTTCCCTAGCGAAAGAGATCGTTAGGGACATGGACGCCGTTTTCTCCGACCGGGACCCGCCCATCTCGGCCCTGGTGCTAATGTACGGCGGCCATGACGTGGCATTCTCAAACTACGGCCCGGTCTGGAAGAAGCTCCCCAAGGTTTATATATAGAAAATACTTCAGTACAATTTTATCGTCTCCTAATTTTCGGCCGAAAGTTTTAACTAATTTTTTCAAACCAAAATTTAACTGTCGAACTTGAAATTTACTATGACCGTGGTAACAAACTTTGTGGTAAACCCATACTAATATAATTCATTAAGGAAATTATAGTAACTATCAATTCATAAATAAACAGCAAGTTACTTGGGGGAAAATTGGGGAATGGATCAGGTGAGTAACCTTATGGTGAGTAACCATGAGTAACCCGTCCACATCAGCATGACATCAGCATCCTCTCTCTCATGGAAAGCTTTTAATTTTTCCCTCTTTAATCTTTGACGGACGATTTCTCGCTCATTTTAAGTCAAAATTTAATTTTTTTTGCACAGTTAGATCAGATTAATTGTGCTCTTCAAAATGATATCCACTTTAATATATTTTTCGAACAAAAAAAAAATTGAGCCATTTTTTACTAGCCTATACCATATGGTATTGACTGGTATTGAAATAAAAGCATACCTATGTTTTGAAAAACTTACCATGGTGGTATGAACAAACCAATACTGTAGGATGGTTGAACACATGATAGTAAAAGTATATTAATTGTAATTTAAGACTTTTAACATTGTATACCACACAATACCACCCTGTACCAGGGTGGTATTGTATGGTATTGTGTGGTATTTTTTGGTCCTGTAATTTGTTCACCCAGAAATTTGTAGATCCAGTAGATCATGATGAACTCGTCCCTTCTGTGCAAACGTTTTCAAAAACGAATTAAAAACGAAGAAGATACCATACAATACCACCCTGTACCAGGGTGGTATTGTATGGTATTGTGTGGTATTTTTTGGTCCTGTAATTTGTTCACCCTGAAATTTGTAGATCCAGTAGATCATGATGAACTCATCCCTGCTGTGCAAACGTTTTCAAAAACGAATTAAAAACGAAGAAAATACCATATGGTATGCAGTTGGTACCGAGAGGCCAGAATTTTTTTTTCCTAAAAAAAATATTGAAAATTGATCTCATTTTGTAGAGCACGGTGAACTCGTTCCATCTGTGCAAAAAAAATTAAAATCCGAGTTAAAACGAAAAAGATATGAGTCAACTAAGAAGGCTAGTGAAAATAAAAATAGCCTTTAATTCTCCATCCTTAGATCTGGATTTTCTAAATGAAGGGTCCAGATTTGGTTATTGATGGGTGCATAACCCATGGTTATGCACCCTATCTTGAGCCGGAAAATTGGTTCACCATTATAATTGTTTATTACCGTATGACTAGGGGGGAATTTTTTGGGAGGAAAGAGGGGAGAGAGAAGGAAGAAGACGTGGGATTTTTGGTGGGAGGAAAGAAGGAGAGAGAAGGAAGAAGACGTGGGAGGATAAGGAAGGAGTGGTAGAGGTTTTTTTTTTTATTAAATTTTTTTTTTTGGAAAATGTATTTTTTGTTCGGTTGGTCGGCTAACCGAGCCTAAAACCGGAATCGACAGGTCGGTTGACTGGCTAACCGTGACCTCTCTTCGGTCGGTGATCGGCAGCTACAAGTGGTGGCTCGGTTTAACCGATAACCGAGTTTTCAGTTTTCGGTTAAACCGAAATTGACCGACTGCCACCCCTAACCTACGTATGACTGTATCATCTTTTATAATGATTTTGATTTGCTTCGTGAGATATATGATCTGCTTTATCGTCTTTCTAGTTTGTTTCATAAGGGTTTACTTCAAAAAAATTTGTAGTATGTTTTATAAGATTTTGTATCTGTTTCACGGAGCTGATGATATGTTTATGAGGTTTCTAGTATCCTTCAAGAAACTTGTGGTTTGTTTATGATATTTATGGTATGCTTCGAGGAACTGGTGATCTACTTTATGAGTATTCTCGGTTTTTTAAAGGAACTTGTGGTTAGCTTTGAGTTTTCGTGTATACTTTATAAATTTGATGGTGTGGTAACGTTTTGGTTTGTTTTATAAGCTTTCTGGTCTACTTTATTTTATTTATGATGTAATTTATTTTGTTTCTGGTCTCTCTTTTATTGCATGATATTAATAATACTTGCGGTGAGGACCGGACGCATAATAAATGAGCAACTGATCCACACGCTTGTTCCGTCCTATCATTTTTTCAAATATACTTAGTGCATTCCCTCCCTTTATAAATTCGCATTAATAGTGATCAACCTCTTAAAAATAAAACAAAAAAAAAATCATCAAACGAAATATTCTATTGAGTGAAACTAATGTTAGCATCATGTTAAAGGGTGTGCCTACGGTGACTTGCACTTTCCGGTCGACCTCATTTAGGATTCGGTCTACCTCATATAGAATCAGGTCGACCTAATCTGTTGTTTCAGTGTAAAAACAGTTCATGGTGCCTACTTTGGATATTCATATCATACAATTGGCTAGATGGAAAATGAAGACTAATGACTTGTTTTGAAGCTGGAGTGTCCCTCTACATATTGAAGTGATTGAGAGCTCGATAGGAAGTGCAGAAGACCATTTTTGAACCTCATCAAAAGGCTATGCCAAAACTGGGAAACTGCCTGGAAATGGCTAAGTCTGGAAACGTGTTTGGGAAGCCTATTTTGGATTTTAATTAAAGAAGCATGAATGCGAGTCGAGTCCAGGAGCCTCTACCACGTTAAATTAGGTATGTTTTTATACAAATTCAAGGCATTGGATGAAAGATTGGATATCTGTAAGGCTTCAAACGAAAGGGTCGAAGTTGCTACGAAGGCTTGTTTACGAAGGCTGTTTTTCTGAGTGTCCCTCCACAATTGCAGCCTTGCCAACAATGATCTTTACCTCTGGTTCACTCCCTCTCTTCGTGACTGTGATCTTCTTGCCTTGCAGCACAAGCAAGCGGCCAGAAAAACAGCCTTCATAGCAACTTCGAGCCTTTTGTTTGAAGCCTTAAAGATATTCAATATTTCATCCAATGCCTTGCCTTTGTATAAAAAAATACGTAATTTAACGTGGTAGAGGCCCCTAGAGTTGACTCACATCCATGCTTCTCAAATTGAGCTCCAAAGTAGGCTTGACAAACACGTTGCCAGACTTAGTCATTTTCAGGCAGTTTCCCAGTTTTGGCATAGCCTTTTGGTCAGGTTCAAAAATGGTCTTTTGGACTTTCCATTGAGCTCCCAAGTACTTTAATGTGTAGAGGGACACTCAGCTTCAAAACAAGCCTTTAATCTCCAATTTCCATCTAGCCCATTGTAAGATATGAATCTCCAAAGTAGGCACCATGAAACTGTTTTTACACTGAAACAACAGATTAGGTCGACCTGATCCTATACGAGCTCGACCGAAAAGTGCATGTCACCGTAACATGCATGTCACCGTAGCAAAGTCCCATGTTAAATTGTTAACAAATTGGGTGCTAGCATCCTAACCTTTGCCTCATATTTAAATTTAGTAAAAACGAGTACGAGAGGTAGTCGATTGGCTAAGGTAATTGGACAACCAACCTTATTAAACATGAATCTTTTTTTTCCCCCTTCTTTTTCCCACAGGTCTTTGTGAGAGAGATGTACGGTGTGGCCAGTCGGGAGGAATGCTATGGACTAAGGAAGCACCAGGTAAGAAACTCCGTCAAAGAGGTGTACAAGAGATGTTCTGGTGCGGCGTTGGACTTCGGCGAAATAGCCTTCAAAACGACGGCGAACGCCATTCTCAGCATGTTGTGGGGAGGAGTGGCAGGGAACCACGAGGGCTTTTACGGTGAGCTTAGAGAGTTGGAATCGGAGATGCTGATGCTGATGGGTGCGCCGAATGTGTCGGACTTTATTCCGGCACTGGCCAGATTTGATTTGCAGGGTATTGAGAAGAAGTCCAAGAGGTTGTTGAGCAAGTTCGACGAGATCCTGAGCTCGGCGATAGAGGAGCGGTTGAGAGCCGTCGAAAAGAGCGCCGGCACGGTGAGGAAGGACTTCTTGCAAGTGTTGTTGGATTTGAATCGCGGCGGTGGCGAAACATATATCTCTACCAATCAAGTCAAAGCTCTACTGATGGTATATTATCGTAAAATCGTAGGATTTTACTTAGAGATTCCGATCCTGATTTTACTATAAAATCGGTGGACCTTAAAATTGTTCAAAATCGGGATTGAAATCGTTAAAATCATAAAATCGTACTAAAATCAAGATTTTGATCCTATGTGAACAAAATAGGCAGTTTGAGCCAATTCAAAAGAAGCAGAACTGTTTCGGTGAAAAGGAAAATGACAGGGATCTTCTAAGATATTTTTCCTATTAAAAGAACATTTGAAAAGAAAAAAATTAACCTAATTAGGGTTCGGTCAACCCCTTTCCCTTCCCCTTGTTTAACTCATTGGTGTAAAACAGTTGTGATAATATTGTAAGTACGTAAGAATTAACATAATTATTAACAAATTAATTAATTAATGAATATATTTGTACCAAAACAATGACATTAATTATTTTATTAGAGTTCACTTATTATTAGTTTTAAATCATGCTTAGTAGACGATGTCGGAATACTAGTTTTAATTAAACTACCTAGACACAACATGAAAAACAAGAACCAAACCCCATGAGCTCTATACATTCCTCATAAATTATTTTGAGTTACGCATTAAATAACAATTAAAATGATGATTTTGGAACATTAATCTTGAAAATTATCACTTTAAATGTTATATGTCTTTGTGTTATTAATAATTTACCTTAATAATATTATTATATGTTAATTTTTATACGATACTTAAAATCCTCCGATTCTACGATTCGATTTTACGATTCTAATTTTACCCCAGTTTTTTATTTTAGGTAAAATCCCGATTTGACTGCTTTCTAATTTTAATATTAAATTCTATTATGCAAAAAGGTGAACTTATTGCAAACATAATTGATTGAGTTTCATCCCTACAGGATTTTATGGTGGGTGGCACAGACACAACGTCGACCATGATGGAGTGGACGATGGCACAACTAGTTAAAAATCCAGATGCAATGGCAAAAGTCTACCAAGAACTGAATGAAGTTGTCGGACAAAACGAAATCGTCGAAGAATCTCTCATTTGCCCAAATTACATTACCTGGAAGCTGTCATCAAGGAGACGCTTCGGCTCAATCCAGCACTGCCGTTCCTAGTGCCACGCTGTCCTAGCCAAACGTGCGAGCTAGGCGGGTACACCATCCCCAAGGGCACAATCGTCTATCTAAATGCCTATGCCATCCACACCGACCCACAACTCTGGGAAGACCCTCTGGAGTTCAAACCTGACAGGTTCCTGGAGGACGACACGAAGTTTGATTTCCAAGGAAACAACTTTCAGTTCCTTCCGTTCGGATCTGGGAGGAGGGTATGCCCTGCACAACGTCTTGCAGTGAACACGATAAAATACGAGCTGGCTACGCTCTTGCATTCGTTCGACTGGAAGTTGCCGCTAGAGACGGAGCTGGAATTGTCGGACAAATTTGGCTTTGTGATCAAGAAGATGAACCCTTTGGTCCTCGTTCCTACTCCCAGGCTTTCGAATTTAGAGCTGTACTAAAAGAGAAGAGGGTCAAGATGTGGGTTGTAAGTTACGAGCTCGCTCGATGCACAATTTGTCTTATTTCAAGTCTTATGCAGTTGTATTTTATGATGAGCACTTCTATTACGCTATAAAGTATTGGTGCTTTAATGTACAACTTAACGTTGTACCATAACGTTAAATGTATAAGTTAAAGTTGTACCATAAAGGAATTTGTACTCTTATGTTATGGTACAACTTTATAACTTAAATTTGCACCATCACTAAAGGTACAAGTTTAAGTTGTACCATAAAGGCAAAAAGCTATATCATCAATGCTATATAGCATTGTAAAATTCATCTTTTATGATAGTATTGTTTAATAAGCTAATTGTGCCTGATTAGTCAAGACACTCAAAATATACAAATTATATATATGATTTTATACCCTACTTCTTGGTGTTATTTATATGGTTTTGATAAATCCTGAAGTACTTTTACTATATATGTATTTACTTCATAAACGTTCAAATGTGCATTTTGTAGCATTTAGAAAAAAATTTCTACTTTTGATACCTTTTCTGGTAGATTCTCGTTATGATCGGACCAAGGCAGAAAATAAGACAAATGTGGGTATGAACCAAATGATTTGAGCCATAAGAGATGTGATGTGGTTGCATATATTTTTGGTTTACTTCAAGAAATTTGTGATTTGCTTTAGGAGATTTTTGGTTTAATTTAAAAAATTTGTAGTATGTTTTATCAGATTTTGTATTTGTTTCATGGAGCTTATGGTATGTTTATGAGATTTTTAGTATGCTTTAAGAAACTTGTGGTTTGTTTATGATATTTATGATTTGCTTCGAGGAACTGGTGATATACTTTATAAGTATTCTCGATTTCTTTAAGGAACTTGTGGTTAGCTTTGAGTTTTCGTGTATGCTTTATAAATTTAATGGTGTGATAACGTTTTGGTTTGTTTTATAAGCTTTCTGGTCTACTTTATTTTATTTATGATGTAATTTATTGTGTTTCTGGTCTCTCTTTTATTGCATAATATTAATAATACTTGCGGTGAGGACAGGACGCATAATAAATGAGCAACTGATCCACACGCTTGTTCCCTCCTATTTTGGATAAATACAATATATTTGTCACAACTATTATGAAGCGGGGAATTATAGCCACAACTATGAAAATTAAAATTATTAGCCATAACTATTGTTGCGGGTCAAGATATGGCTAACTGTCCATTACTTTTATTGAATTTTTAACAGAGATGGTCACGTCGTCGGCCACGGCAACAGCCACGTCGGATTGCTTTTAATTTATAACTTTAAAACATAAAAGTTTAGTCAGTATGACTAACGAAATTGTTAACAAATAGTTAACGTTTGGCTAATAATTTGAATTTACATAGTTATGGCTATAATTCCCCACTTCATAATAGTTGTGGCTAATATACTGTATTTACCCTATTTTTTAAATATACTTAGTGCGTTCCCTCTCTTTATAAATCCGCATTAATTGTGATCAACCTCTTAGAAATAAAACAAAAAAATCATCAAACAAAATATTCTATTGAGTGAAACTAATGCTTATCCTTTTTGGAGTGACGAATCTTGTATGTGTTCATAAGAAAAGGAATTAGTCCATTTTTCGGGGTCTTCTCTTACTCGTCGGAGTTTAATTCAAATAGAAACCAATTAGAAAAAAGTTGTTCCTGGTCGGATCAATAAAATTATGAAAAATAACTCGATTTTCAAATATACAACATACATTCTGGCAATACAATGTAGTTGGACTCTCATGTCGATCCGAATGAATCATCCTTTCCACGGAGGTAAATCTTTGCATGCTAGGCAAGAGGATAGAAAGTTCTAAATGCTGTCTTGGTAGGATATAGGTCAGCTCTGACGCAGACCCGACTTGTCTTCTCCTCTCCCCAAAAGGCCTCGTACTAATGAGCTTGGTGGACACTAATATACAAGGGTCCCTTCGCTTGTATTACCGATGTGGTACTTGGATTGTCCCATAACACATGTGTTTCAGCCTGTTACGACTTAGGCGTAGTAAAGTAGTCAGCCGTCCGGCCTAATAAACATCGGCGGATCTAGGGGGCCGCTCCGGGGCCACGACCCAGCCTTCCCCAGATCCAAAGCCCGTATAGCACTTGTAAATTTTCGATTTTTGGTATATATTTCAATGTTTGTAAGATTACGGCTCAGCCTTCTCTATCATTTTTTAAATGCGGCCCAATGCTCTAACTTGTTCTGTATCCGCCGTTGCTAATAAGGTAATTACCAAACTCATATTTTTCGGTTGTTGGGCGGGTACCCTGATAGTACTCTCTGTTGGGATTTTTAGTGGTGTGAATGGAAATAAAAGGGGAAAGTTTCAAGAGAGTCTCTTGAAGTACCATGTTGGTAAAATGTGGGAAGGCATGGCCTCGAATTCGATCAATTTGATGTAATATGTGGTTAATTGGTTAAATTGGTTTGTGTAACCAAATGAACCAAACCGAGTTGAACCAATTCGAACCGAACCGATATGGCGGTTGGAATAACCAAACCGGTCCAACTTCCATGAGGCCGAACCAATGCAATGGTTGAAATATTTTAAACGAACCAATGCAATGGTTGGGGTGTAACCACCCATATGAAGAGTTGCCTCCCTTCAATGCATCCCTTCATTTTCTATAAATAGCACCATACCCCCTCTTGTTTTAACTACGAGTTTTACATGGATTTTTCCCGGTACTGAAACTCTGCCAAAATCCAAAAACTAGTTTTTCTGCATTCTTTTCAAAGAGAAAATAGAGTCAAGTGTGATTCTCGCCGTTTCGCTGCGTTCGATGGTTTCCGGGGTTTGAGGTACCGCTACGCCGGAAAAGGTACGTCCTTTCTATCCTGGGAGGAATCATTCCACAACCTTGGGTACTTGAGGGGAATAAGATTCTTTAAGGAGAGATAGTGAATTCTATCGGCTAGGACGTTTGCATGTGTCTTTGCATGTTTTTCTTAATCTTATGTGTTTGCTTGTGTTGCAAGAAAAATAGTATACGTGAACAATTTTCCCAACAATCTTAAAGAATCTTATTCATATTACATATTTTGTTCACATATACTAGTTAATTTCATGAGAGGTAGTATCATGAAATCACCGATTGGACAGTTTTATGGTAAGATGAGTTCGTTTGTATGCCTCACACTATCAGGATAGCTACATTTGTTGTTTGCCATGATATTCTTTTCTTGTAATTACCATGCAAATTTCCATGCAATCCTTTGGTTTCTTATTCATTTGTTATTTTGGTAATGCATGAACTCGTTGCATGCGTTGGTGTGTCGGAAAAAAAAAATGGCATGGAAACAATCATTTGGCGGTTGCCTGGATGGAGGGACACGTCCCCTTCCTTTGTCGTTCCCCCCCCCCCCTAAATGCAGTTACATGGATATGTCCTCTGCATGGAGGAGCATGACGGTTCTCACTGTGCAACCGTCCATTGAAGCATTGCATTGTTTCGGGAGAAAAGTGGGTGGCGCATTATAAATATTAGTGGCCAAATGATGAACAGCGGAAACCAGATTCCTAATATTCTTCTTTCTACTCCCCATAAGCAAGACGACTTCAATCGAATGCTCCTGGTTGGTTAATTCTTTTTGGTTGATCACCATAGAGAGAAACGAGTCGTGCGACAGTCTGTGAATTGTACAAGATGGCTGGAAGCATTCCAAAGCCGGAGCACCCCGTCAATGTTGATGAAGATGACGATGACGTCGTAGAGGTCATCAATATTGAATCGGATCCTGAGATTATTGATCTCTCTACTCCCTAAATGGAGTTTGACAATGAAGAGTGGTTCGATTTTTATGACGATAGCGAGGATTTGCTATATAATGACATTGGTGGAGAGCATCCAACCAATTATTGGACTCTAGATGATATACCCATCTATGATTGGTACTCAATGGGTCCTAATGTGGACGATTTGGGCACCCATGTGGACTCGATAGAGAGTATGGGGGAAGAAGAGGAATTTGAGGAATCGGAGAACGAGGAGGAGTACTCCGACATAGAGACCGATGAATGTCTCTCTGATCCTGACTTCGACCCCAAGAATCCTTAGGATTCTTGTATATGTATTGTAATCTCCTTTGAGGAGTAGACATATGTATGTGTGTGTATATATATATATGGTATTAATATGTGTGTGCCTATGTAAGTCATGTATTTACATGATGAATAAAGGACAAATGTTCTTATCTCCCAAGTGGAAAATTAGTTGGATAAAACCTTACGAGTTTGTTTGGTTCCAAAATTAACCACAAAGTTTTAATGCTTTTATTGCATTGGTCCATCTCAATTATGTGGCATGGATGAATGATAATTGTTCCAATTTGATTTGGATACTTTTTCATTCAAGGTGATGCATGAGAGTGATGGAAGTACTTATGATAGTCCTTCATGGACTCTAAGTAACGGTGGTTTGGATAGTAATAAACTATCTAGTGGGAAACTATGAACATTCATAGGTATGTAAAACCTATGGCGCGTGGCAAGTGGGGACTTGTGAATCATGTCTATCTGGGCCGGAATGGTTCCAAATTGATTGCAAAAGTTATGTTCAAAGTAAATTGAACATAGTACGAAAAGATACCTCCATTGTGTGGAGATGAAGTTTGGTTAATGCTTGTTTATCCACAAGCGACAAGGAATTCAAATTCCAACGATGTTGGTCAAGACATGATAATTTGTTTATCATGCATGTGATTTAGGACTTGATGATTCCTATGCCACGAGGGCAAGGAAAATGAAGTGATTGATCCTTATACGGATTTAATAAGCTTGCCAAATGATGGTTGTCATCAAGATAAGCATTAGGTCAGAATTGCTTATGGTATAAGTACATTATACCATTGGAAAACAATTTGACTATGATTATCAACGTGGAGCTAATTGCCAGAATTGTTTATGGTATATATAGATGTATATCATTGGAAAACAATTTGGAATGAGAGCTCAATTGAGATGATCTGATTGAACTTAAAGACTGGATTACTTGTGGTATATTTATGAAGTTTATACCATTGGAAAGTAATTAGACAATTGAATTAGAAATTCGTTTGAATTACTTGTGGTATATCATATTACGTATATGAAATGTCATTGGAAAGTAATTAGATGGGATTTCCATTACTGGAATGCATCTGAATTACTTATGACGTCTCAAGTTGCCTTGATCAATACCATTGGTAAGTAATTGGATGATTTTTCTAATAAAATCTGAATTGTTTGTGTTATGCTAATCGAGTGAGATCATACCATTGGTAAACAATTGGATACACATAGTGGTTGGCAAGTTCAATAAGTAAAACCATGAAAAATAAATGGGATTATTCCATGATGTTTGGCAAAGAGTAGAATTGTGGGGGAGAAGAGCCCATTGTTTCGACTACTATCTCAAGACCCTACAATGGGACGCAAACCTATTCATAAGATAAAAGTGGAAAGGTAACCGAAATCATACTTGAAAGTATGAAGGTGTCCTTAAACCTTGTGGAGTTAACCCAGTCCAAAGGTATAACTTATGAGTAAACTCTAGCATATATTGACGTTATGTCAGAGGCTAGAATATTTATTGATGTTGATCCACTCTTCCCAAAGAGATGATTTTGACCATATACATGAATGTATATGAACAACATTCCCCAAACTGGAAACGTTGGTTTCAACAACTATGGCGAAATAGTTGAAATATGGGGGATAAATTGGGGAGAAGCGATGTGGAATGTCACTTGGGTGATTCCAAAGTGAAGGATGTGAATACTTAGGAATTTTACGTAAACCCTAAGCTAAGTCATAAATGTCACTACATTTGAAGAGATACTTGTGAAGTTTAAGTACTCTAAGGTTAATGAAGTAGAGAGACTTCAACACCGTTGGCATGTGTTATGATTATTGCAAGGCAATAAAATCAAGGCAAACACACATGATGTGTAGTGAATCAAAAGAGACGAGTCTTTGGTGAATTTTACCCAAAGGAACTCACTAGGTGAACCAAAAGCCATAGTCCATTAATGGATAGGCATTTATGGTTAATGAGGAGCAGTATCTTGGAAAACGACCAAGTTAAACTCTAAGACCGGTGAAGTTGAATAGTCTGGCCCGCAAAGACTGGCGCGAATAAAACGCACTTGTGCACAAAATTGTTATTGCAAGGGCTAGAAGTGTTATGTGAAAAATCTCGTCATTAATAATGGAAACATAACACTAAGGTCAATTTCTAGCGAAGTTATCTAAGTTGATCATGTAGATCAAGTGATAAAAAATGTGGGGCCCACCTAGAAATTTGTTAAAGCATCGAAGGGAATGGACTCGTGGCCTAGGACAAATCTTCATGGCGGTAACTCTACCTAAGCAGGATTGGCAGACCCAACCTCTAGGTTCAAGGAGAAAACAAAGTTGTGAATGATGGTCCGACATTGTCAAATTATTCAAACTCCATTCTCATGATGAGACAATGTCCAACTATAAGGGTAAACCTAAAGATGGAAGGTTTTTAATGGTTTCTAAGTTTGACACAAGATGTGATCAAATAGTGTATTTTCAAAATACATGTTTAGAAATCACCTATGTGAGTGTGAAGTGGAGCCGCTTCAAGGAGAATAAAAGAAGGCCAGTTTTCTAAGCACTCATGAGACCAGGCGGTGTTCATGGCTGAAACGAACACAACAATGAGAACCAGTGAACGGATAAGAGTTAGGTGTGTGACATATGTTGTCTTAGTATACAAGCAAAACCGACGGTTCAAAGATATCACATCTACCGATTGGTGAGTATACTCGATATATGTTCACTAAGAAAGGTTCAAAGGAAAACCTACCTATTCCGATGCAACTAATTCTTAGTCGAGAATCACACGATATTTTGCATAGTTTTTAAAGTACAACATTCTCCATTCATGTGGGGGATTGTTGGGATTTTTAGTGGTGTGAATGGAAATAAAAGGGGAAAGTTTCAAGAGAGTCTCTTGAAGTACCATGTTGGTAAGATGTGGGAAGGCATGGCCTCGAAATTTGAATAACTGCCGCAATTTACTTTAGAACGATTTGTGTGTGTGGGGGGGGGGGGGACACAGAAAATCTACTAGGGTCGTTTAGTTTTGGTGATTGTTTGATTGGGATAGTTACAATGCATGTAATGTCCATAATGCATGGTGTTTTTGAATTTCATGCACAAACAATACATGCATTGTTTGCTTGATGTGATGGAAACTTTCACTCAAAATGAGTGATAGTGCTATCTCTACTAAAACTTGAGATTGTTGAGTACATTACATCATTTTCCTAAATTGCATATATATTACAATGCATGCATTAATCACATTGCATTGATTTAAGTATCACCAAAATCAAACAACATGTTGAATACTAAAGGAACTATCACGAAAACCAAACAATGTAAAGTATATTATATTATTTTTCTTAATTGCATGTACATGTATTGACAATAATATATTGATTTAAGTACACCAAAATCAAACAACCCCTACGTGTTCAAAGGACAACAAAATAAATCATTCAATTCAATTATTCCGCCCCTGGAGAAAAAAAATGGCGGAGATAGAACAGTTGCAAAGTTACAGTCACAGAGTCACTCAGTCGGTCTACGGAGGCTATAATTGAAGTCCACACTTCTTCTGAAAATTCCATCATTCAGCTCAGATCTCCTCTTTCACTCCGAGAACACTAAAAACCTTCAGGCTCCGTCGACATGGAGATTTCTTCTTCCGCTCTCCGCCTTCCATTTCTATTCTTGCTGGTACCTCTGCTCCTTTTCTTCCTCCTCTCCCCTTGGAACCCGCTCCACAACCTTTCCGGCGGTGGCGACTCCGCCGGCCGCCGGGCCCAGTTCCCTCCCAAGTCCCTTACCTCAATATCTCCCCCGCCTGCCGAACCCCGATCCCCGCCGCGCAGGGACCACAACTCCGCCACCGCCCGCAACCCGCTCGACCCGCTCACCGTCGGCGAAATTCACCGTGTCCGATCGATTCTCTCCTCCTACCAACCTTTTCTCCGTCACTTCCCTTCGATTCAATCCATGTCCCTCGACGAACCGGACAAATCGCGGGTCCTCGGGTGGAAATCGGGCGACCCGATTCCGTCCAGGAAGGCCTTCGTCATCGCACTGCTGGACAATCAGTCGCACCTGCTCACGATTGACCTCGACTCGGGCCGGGTCGAGACCCACGAGATCAGTTCCGGGTCGGGTTACCCGATGCTGACGATGGAGGACGTCGTGGCGGCGGTGCAGACGGCGGTTTCGTACCCAGAATTGGAGGCATCCGCCGCTGCTCGCGGACTCTCGGTGGCGAATCTGTCCTGCATCTCGCCCTCGCCGGGCTGGTTCGGACCCGACGAGGAAGGGAAGCGGATCTTGAAGGTGCTCTGCTTCTCCAAACAGGGGACGCCCAATTTCTACATGAGGCCGCTCGAAGGGCTGGTCATGACCGTGGATGTTGACCGGCGAGAAGTCCTCCAGTTCTCCGACACGGGGAAAGGGATTCCGATCCCCGGCAGGGCCAACACCGATTACAGATTCCGACCCGGGAACAAGCCGCCGGAGATGGAGCGGATCAACCCGATTTCGATGGAACAGCCGCGTGGGCCCAGCTTCACTGTGACGGACGGGCATTTGGTGAAGTGGGCAAATTGGGAATTTCACTTGAAGCCGGATCAGCGGGCCGGGTTGGTGGTGTCCCGGGTCGTGGTTCGGGACTCCGAAACAGGGGCGGCGAGGAGCGTGATGTACAAAGGGTTCCCGTCGGAGCTTTTCGTGCCGTACATGGACGCCGACGAAGGATGGTACTTCAAGTCGTACATGGACGCCGGCGAGTTCGGGTTGGGCGCCACGGCGATGCCGCTTGTTCCCCTGAACGATTGCCCTCGAAATGCTTATTACATGGACGGGATTTTCGTGTCGGCGGATGGGCAGCCGTTTGTTCAGAGCAACATGATCTGCTTGTTCGAACGCTACGCCGGCGACGCCGCCTGGAGACATTCCGAGCTCACTGTTAGCTCCGGCGGTCAAGAGGTACGTAATTGACAGCCGGAATTAAAAAGTAACTACTACAATTCGGACCCCAACAAGTTTAATTGAGGATCGTGCAATGTTGCAGTTAAGGGAAGCTAGAGCTAAGGTCACACTGGTGGCTCGAATGGCTGCATCTGTTGGAAACTACGACTACACATTTGATTGGGAATTTCAGACCGATGGCTTGATCAAGATCACTGTAAAGTGCTAATTACTACTATACCAGCACCTAATCATGTAGCTCTTTCTCCTAACGACGTTAAATTCGGTTGGTTGTTACAGGTATCTCTATCAGGAATGCTGATGGTGAAAGGGACTGTGCATGACAACATGAACCAAGTCCAGAACCAGGATGAGATGGGACCGTTAGTTTCGGAGAATGCGATCGGAGTAGTTCATGACCACTTCATCACGTTCCACCTCGACATGGATGTCGACGGGCCAAACAACACGTTCGTGAAGGTGAACCTGGTGAAGGAAGAGAATGTGGAAGGGAAAACCCCAAGGAAAAGCTATCTGAAACCCAAGAGACATGTCGCCAAGACGGAGGATGATGCTCGAATCAAGCTGAGCCTTTACGATCCTTCCGAGTTCCATGTGGTGAACCCTTCGAGGATGTCGAGGTTGGGGAACCCTTCGGGTTACAAAGTTGTTCCTGGAGGGAATGCTGCTAGCCTGCTCGATCACTCGGACCCTCCTCAACTGAGGAGCGCTTTCACTAACAATCAGGTGAAAAGATATGGAAAATGGGATTTGAATTTCGATACGAATGACGAGTAGTGCTAACAGAGACATGTTTTCAGATATGGGTGACACCGTATAATCGGAGCGAGCTATGGGCCGGAGGACTTCTGGTGTACCAGAGTCATGGAGATGACACCTTGGATGTTTGGTCTCAGAGGTACTTGGCATTTGGCAAGGCGACGACATGAGAAGTATTGTTAAGAGCTGAGGGGTAGCTAAAATTCTGTTGTTTGGTTTGTGTTACAGGAACAGGGAAATTGAGGACAGGGACGTCGTTCTATGGTACACATTGGGATTTCATCACGTTCCATGTCAAGAGGATTTCCCGGTGATGCCCACTGTTGCGGCCAGCTTCCAGCTTAAGCCGGTGAACTTCTTTGAACGGAATCCAATTCTGACGGCTCGGCCGGTGTTCGAGGAGGACCTGCCGGTTTGCCGGCCTTCTGAGTCGGCTTCAATCATTTAAGTAGTAGGAACATGATAAGATAATGGAGTGTTACAGATATAGGGGGAAAAGGGGGATTATGAGCCGCTGGCAACATAACTATTGCAAATTGGAGGTGAAACAACTGCTTTCGGATGGCTGATTTATGATAGTGATATTGAAGCAATTGCAAATTAGTTGACTAGGCACATAAACAATGGAATCAGACCACAAGACAGCAGTAAACTGATTGTGATGCACCGGTGAGGAAACATTTTATTCAACTTAAATGCTCTAGACAAGGAGAATGGAGAAGCAACCAAAATAGGCTTAATAAACCCAGAAGTAACCTCAGAGGCAGAGTAATGGTCCGTCGTTATGCCTACACATTCATAACTTTCGAGCATTAAGCTCTCTAGTCTCTACCATAACAAAAGTGCTCTGCTCTTACCGTCTTTGGCAAGCCGTGCATTAGAATCTAACAACTCACAAGTTTACAAAGCATGATATGAAGCTTGAAAGCTCTACATAAGAGAATGCAGAATCAACAAACGTTGAAAACAGCCAAGCTGTAACCCGAGACACACAGCTGCAGCAAACACCAAACATGACTGACATTACCGTAGAGAATGATTGCTGACTGGAACCAATCCCGCAGCTGATTAAACGAATAACTCACAAATGCTGAACTGACAATCATGACAAACATGATACAGAATCAACCAGTAGGTCAGAACTCAGAACAGGCCAACACCCCATAAGAGCGATGATAGCTGATTAAAAGCCATCTGAAGTTCACCAGATATTTACATGCACAAACTTGCACAAGTTTCATCCTGGCATTTGATTACCAGTTCTTCGACTGCAGCACACTGGATAACATTGACACCCTAGTAATCCCTCATCCATACCAACTTTGCACCATGGCTACTGACATCATAACACAAGCAGAATAACCAGGCGCTCTATGGTTCAGTCAGAGTCTATCTTACAGTAACTACAAGATGTCAATTAGCAGTCCGGTAACTGCTTCACAAAGTTGGGAACAGAAAGGACACATTACACAAAACAAATATTCTCAAGGAAAACCTTAACTCCAGTGGACCAGATGCACCCCTGTATAATTGTCATGCTTTGAAAGTTACTACACCAGTGTAACAAAACTAGTTCATCATTCTCTCCACCAAACAACAAGCTGGCCAGTTATCATTGAATGCACACCACTCTGCATATAAAAACCGTGGCAAGAATACTTGACCATGTGCAGCCGCACACATGGAGCTAAGAACAAGAAGTCCTTCGCATGCAACCAAGTAACTTCCATAAGAGGGAAATTGTACAAGAAATACGAATAGACAAACCCCACTGGGTAAAGGATTTCCAGATCTTAATAAAAGAGCCAGAGATTTAGCAAAGGCGTTAATACAATTGGATTCCCATTTGAAATACCAGATGTAGACTACCCATTAAGGGAACATAGTATCAAAACGCAAAAACCAAAGAAAACCCCAAAATGCTCAACAGAGAGGTGCAGCATTCCTTCATCAAATTCAAATTCAACACATACTGTCAGTCATCCACCACATCGAAATGCCCAAACAAACAAGCAAACCCTAATTTCTCCTCTCCAAATCACAAACAAAAAGGAAGCGAAATCTTAAGCCAGATTACTTCAGAAAAGCAGAATCGACAAACAAACAAGACAAAGAACCCAATTCCCTTTACCGCAATCCATTACAGCGAAGGGTCTTTCGTTTCTTCACTTCGCAACCATCCTCGCAATGAAATCCTCGTACTTGATCTTCCCATCCGACCCGACGTCCACCTCCCGGATCCACTCGTCGAACTCCGCCGGCTCCAGCTTCTCCCCAATGCTGGTCAAGATGTGACGCAGATCCTGAACGGAGACGAACCCAGTGGAATCCTTGTCGAGCACCTTGAAGGCGTCGCGGAGCTGTCGATCGAAGGGCTCGGTCTTCATGTGCTTCCCCATGATGTCGAGGAACCTCGGGAAATCGAAAGGAGCGGTTAGCTTCTCCTCCGCGACGATGGCCTTGAGCTGGGCCTGGGTTGGGTTCCCGCCCAGAGAGCGCATCAGGATCCCGAGCTCAGAGGGGGCGATTTTGCCGTCGCCGTCGGTGTCGAAGAGGACGAAGGCCTCCTTCATCGAGTGGACCTGGTCGTCGCTGAGATCCTTGCCCATGTTTCTTTCTTCCGGTTCGGGTTTGCGGGTCTCCGATCGGGCTCTTGCTTTCTCGCACAGAAGCGGAGATTGGCCTGGGGAAATGGAGACTCTGTCTCTTTTGTAAGCTTTTTCTGAACGAATGATTTGGCGAGGTTGGGGGAAAAAGGAATAAAAACGTATGGCAGGTTCGAGCGGAGGGAGAGAGAGAGATAATGAAACGGCTGCGCTTGAAGTTTACTTTGCAGCGCAGATATCTCGCTGGAAAGTGGAAACAGGGCCGGATAAAACATGGTGGGCTTGAGGAGTGGAGGGCCCAAGGAGTGATGTGTGAGCTGTGGCTGATCCAGCTATTTTAATCTTGAAATAAAATGGGGTTTTCGGTCTCAAGGGCCCAATCCAATTGGGATGCTTAACAGTTAGGTTGTTAACCTGGATTTAGATCTTCGATCTGGTCAAGCGATTGGGTTGTGGGTCGATAGTTAAATCGAAATTAACTCATCTCGACCCATTTTTATACTCATTTAACTCATGACAACCTTATTTGCCATCCGATCGACCGTTTTGTGAATGTGGTCGATTGTTTTGCCTAAATCATTGTGATTTTGAAATGCATATACTCAAATTTATATTTTTTTAACTATATGATGAAATAAATTATAAAATTGATTATTTGTTGGGTCGTTCAAAGCCATGACAATAATTCCACATTGCCACAAAATCTCACTCTAAAGTTGGAGCACTCTAGGTTGATATCTGAAGAATTTAACTTGCTATTGCTATAGAAAGAGGATAATTTTTTCTACTTCTTCTTTAATGACTTTTCCTTCGCAGGTTAAATGGATGCCAGACCATAAACCAAAGTCATCGTGTCTATGTTGCTTTAATTTTCAACACTAATCTCCTGAGCAGTTGGAGCAATAAACGAAGCTCTGGCAGTTGGAGCAATAAACGAAGCTTGCAAAGACGTGTTTAAATAAAATGTTTAACTCTGTACACCGTTTTTCATTTTAGTATTCGTTTGATTTTGGTGATACTTAAATCAATGCATGGTGGTCATGTATTGTAATATACATGTAATTAAGGAAAATGATGCAATGTACTTTACATTGTTTGGTTTTGATGATAGTTTTTTTAGTATTCAACATTTTTTTTTAGTATTCAACATGTTGTATTACTTTTTGTGAGAAATGTCACTTTTACACTTGCTTTTATGAGAACTTATATATATAACTAGCGATGTACTTGGAACTAAAAATGAACCCAACAATCTCTTCAAAACTATCTCAACAATCTCAAATTTTAGTAGAGATAGTACTATCACTCATTTTGAGTGATAGTTTCCATCACATCAAGCAAACAATACATGTATTGTTTGTGCAGAAAATTAAAAAAAAAATACATTGTGAACAATACATGCATTGTAACTATCCCAACCAAACTATCACAAAAACCAAACAACCCCTAATGAAATTACCCAACAACGTTCAAAAAAAGTTAATGTTTAATCCCATAAAAATATTAATGTTAAAGATCAATAAGTCAAAATCACGTCATATTTTGATCATAGAAAACTCTACCTGCATGCAGTGGCGGTGTCCTCTTCCAAAAATTAAATTTACTTAAAATTTAAATTATATAATTTGAAAATATCCGATTAGTAAAAATTACAATAAAAGTTCATACGTGTTACGGATTATGAAAAAATGATAAAATACATTCGGTGTCTATACTGCTCAACAAATCTCTCTCGACATAGATCGTATTAGACAAGGGTAGTCCGTAATTGGGTTTAATCGTTAGGTTTTGATAATTTTGGTATAAGAATAACCTTTTACTTATTATATTTAGATCTAAATACAACAACAAATGAGTTATAGACTAAATGAAAATATATTTACCAATAGTAGCAGTGTGCCAAGTTAAAATCACATAGACTATGACTTAAATATTATTTGTACCAGTACGTAAACTACTACAGGTAGTTAGGTCAACCTTTTCCCCAAAATTTAAGGGTGTCCCGCTACTACTTAATTCTCTCTATCCATACACAAACTACTATCAGAGGTTGAATAATCATTTTTTCAAAATTTAGGGGTGTTCTACATGTATTCGCCACCGCGTGCATGCTCCCAGGTCTTAAGATTCATTCGTTTAATGATACGAAGAAAGCTTTAAATTTAGTTATGTATTTATTGCTTCGTATTGTGTTTATGTTCTTGGTTTTGTTTTACATCGATGGTCCTTATCGTGATTTTTTCTTATTGTTATAAACGCTCTGCTACGGATCGGGAAATCACCAGAATCGATAAAGCAAGAATACGAAAGCGAGAATAGAAAAACACAGACACACGATTTACTTGGTTCACTAACACGACGTGTGTTAGCTAGTCCACGGGCGAGAGAGAGCCAGTTTCACTATATCGAGGAGATTACAGATTACAGAGGAGTATGAGAAGTATTTATAGTACTTCACCATGTGGGTCTAAACCTAATCCGATATGGCAAAAGGAAACTGTTACAGACCAGGCCCAGAATCTGAACCCAAATAACATTGAGCACATACACCGCAGCCCGGGGGCGTTGCCCCCACACCCCCCACCAGAGCGTTGCTCCTGGACCCCCACTCACTGACCGGACAGCGGGACCTCCTACTAATCCAATCGTAGTGACTGATAGTCAGATCAAGTCACATCAACACTTATGATGATGACCCCCTATCCACGATTTTTACATTGATAACGTCACAAGCAGACTAAACTCTGGATCGTCGATCATCAACAGAGTTTTTAATAACTGGACGGTATGTACCACTCAAGAGTTGTTGCACCAATCTAACAAAGACAAGGATCGACCACAAGATACTGTACATGCCAATCCACCTCTCCATCAGCCAGGCTAGCCCTAGTGGCTTACATTTTCTTTGTCTTAATAAAACTAGCTTGGGCCCCGGCCATTTGGCCGGAGGAAGGTGAGGTATGAAATTTGATAATGTAATGGGGTGTATAGCTTATTGTTGTATAGTTTTTTTTTTGGGAAACATGTGATAAAAATAGTGAATTTAGTAGGAAAGAGACATGAATGATGCAACGAATCAAAAATCAGTCTTATGAACCAAAATCAAGTACCTGTTACCTTGTGAAACAATATTGTTTCTGGTAATATGATGAGGTGGAGTAAGTTTTATATAAACCAAATTCCAGAAAATCGAATAAAAAATCGCCTATCCCGCCAGTTTTCGGGAAATGAGCATCTCACACTCGTTGCTAGCTTTTACTCGGCCCGTTGGCCGATTAATTTGCTTTATAAAACTTTCATCTTGTCATCATTGTGCTTTCTGGTTTTTGCCAAGTCATGATAAAATCTAAAAAAATCAATAATGAACAACACGATTTGGGATAGGAACCATTATTCCTGTATCCCTAAAAAATGGTGTTAAACACGGACTCACCTGCCAAACTGGTTTGGATTGAGATTTTTATCGGGTATCAGGGAACCATGTGATTCCAAATTAGACTTGATCAAAACGGGCCAAAACTTGAAATTCAACCTATTTGACCGACCCATGGCAAACTCTAATTATTCTTTACTTTTCAACTTTCTATTTGAAAATAAAAAATAATGAAAGAAAAGAGATGACTGCAATTCGCCATTTGCAAATCACTAATTCGGGAATAAAACTATAGAATTTCGAAAGGAAACTGAAAATGTTTAGGATCGTTTTAATGTTATAAATAACCAAATAGATCTTTCTGTTTAGTTTTTTACTAACAAATACCAAACGATTCCCTATAATATACACTATAATTTAATCATTATGATATCAAATAATTACATAATATATATTTGAAATGATAAAAATTGGACTAATTGGGTTGGTCGAGGTTGAACCATTGAATAACTTTAAAATACATTATATTTTAGCCACTAAGATATAAAATAATAGCATAATATATATTATGCTATAGAAAATAGCTTGTTTTAGAATGACAAACCCATGATATTCATTTGTTTTACTTGATGGGAAAATCCCGTGTAGGTCAGGTCCATTCAACTCTTTTATTTTATGACTAGCGGTTAGCCCATTGGAATCCATGCATTAGTTTATTGTTAAATTTTTTTCTTTTTAGCAATAAAAAGGAGTATTGTTTTTGCCTTTTCATAAATATATTTTACCACCACGGAGAAATAAAAGGACTTAAAGAAAAATTGACACTCCTGGACCCGTTTAAATCCGCATGTGTACGGTAGTTGGCATGTTCCACTGAGGAAAAGGAAAAAAATTGGCACTCCCTATTTTACCCTTCCTACAAACGCTCACAAACGCTCATGGAGCAGGGAATTTGAAATGGGGGAAGGGTTTTTTCCTCTCTGCGATTATATGTTTTTCATTTAAAAAGATACAACAAATGTACTTAGTGTGATTGATTATGATCTTTGCTTTTATTTAAAGTGGTCATGGTTCGAATTCTAATAAGTGTCTTTTTAACGAATAAAAAAAGTAATTGTGAAGACCAAAATGTCCTTTTTATTTTCATTCTGGATGTATGAAATTTAAAATGAGGCTTAAAATTTTCTCATTTGGCTTTTATTTATTGTGTAGATGTATTATATTTAGTATGAAAAAAATATTAATTAACTTGTCTTTCTTGGTAGTGCTAACCCCTCTGCATTTCAATTTTCAAACGTAAGAGTTGGGAACCAACTTTCTTTCTTTCTTTGTGCGACATGATTGTGATATTTTGAGATCTGGGTCCAAAATCGACCCCATTCACTTTAGGCCAAGATTTAACTTTGCGTCTATGTAATTTTTGTCTTCCTTTTTCTTAATTTCTACCCATGCCATGATATACCTAATTGGAAGTCGGGGCCAATTTTTTCAATTTGTCCCTTTAGTCATCATTTCCTTTGTAATTGCTTCACTAGTGGGTATCTTTTACCCCCAAGGCAATAAAAAAAAAATTGTACTTATTCATCAAAAGAAAAAGAAAGGTTTGGTAAGCCAAAACTTTTACAACTATTGGTCAATGAAAAGATGATTTTTCAATGTTTGGCATGTTAGCAACATCTTATACTATCCTTAACATAATTCCTCACAATATTATCTAATTTTATGAAAAAATTTGGTATCTTTCGCATAATTCTTTGCCTCGAATTGAACTATATTTCTTATTTCTAATATATATCTTTCAGGGTAAATACAATATAATAGTCAGACCTTTCATTTTAACGAAATAATAGTCAAATATTTTTCAAAACAATTTAATAGTCAAACCGCTAACTTTTCTTCCAGTCAAACGTAAATTGACTCAGTCCGTCTTGACGTGAGTTGGAAAACAGTTACAAACATATTTATTTAGCCTTATTCCCAAGATAAAGCTATTTTCTTAAGATATTTGAATATGTTTGGGTTTGGCACTATATGTTAGCATTGGTTGGCCTTCTTGTTTCTTGTTGAGCAAATTAAAAGGGGATAAGGAAAACGAAAATGACTTGAGAGAAAGTTTGGTTTGTTTGAGCTTTCCAGCGGAGGGATCCGATGTTATGTCGTCGATCCCACTTTGGCTTTGCTCTCTGCCTGTCCAACTCCGAGGTTTAGCTTGGTTTTTGGACACGTAGTATAGTTTTTGCAAGAGAAACAAAAATAGCTGTACTATTACTATACTACAGGTTCTGGTAATCAAACGGTGGCAGCCAAAATAGAAATGAGGAATTTTAATATCTTTATAAGAATCAGTACTTTAATGTATTAGTTGAATATGTATCTAATTTTAGTTTGCATCACAAATGAAAATATATAGGCAGAGTATTAAGATGCATGTTCAATTTGTGACAACTAAAACTTTATACGAAAAATGAAAAGATACAAACGGTATTTATACCATAACATTCAGTTTGTATCTTAATGTTTTTAAAAATAGAAATATTAATACATTATACATATGAGCATAGTATTGGAATATAAATAGTTTGAAATATATAGCTCCATTTTTTTTAGAAAAAAAAGGTAAAAAGAAGTGAAATATAATTATTTACGTACTCTGATTTGAGCGATGAACAAGACATATATGTCATAATAATAACGTATTTTTACTAATTTTATTATTAAATGATAAAGTATATAAACGCAATAGTTATACTTGCCCATAAGCCATAATAACCAAATTCACTATCAAGCTAGAATTTTTTTTACAAAAGGACGAAGAATCCAATAAGAAGAAACAAAAGCTAACTAAGCAATATTCCATTCCACACGGCTAGCTAACAGCAATAAATAAGTATGTATATGACACTAATGATTGACTATATCCAAAATACTCATCTAGAAGCTGAATTAATGATACATTAATGATACGTTCTTTTAATACCCCACTAATCATATGTTAGTAGTTAATTATCGTAGACAAATAAATGTTCATAATTAATTGATCATGTTATATAATTGCTTCCCCCTTGAAGTCTACAATTGTAGTGCATGTTTTTCCATTTCAAGACTCTTGTCTATTATTTTTTATTCTTCCTTTCTCTACTAAATTCTATTGATTGAAGCACAAAAACATATAATAGTCAACCAGCTAGCCTATGCATGTGCAAATGGTCATGGTTTGTGTGCAAACGACGGTAGTAGGAACTAGGAAACCTATAAACCTTGACTTCCACCATCGTTTTCCTTTATTAATAATGCAGAGAAAGAACGAAACAAAGACCCACTTCCACCAATATTTTTCAAACCATAATAAATACACAAGATCCAAATGTTCTAATAAGCTAAGTTTGCCCGTTACCACTCCCAAATATTAAAAGAGTAGGGACCAAGATATGAGGGGGGAAGTTTGAGGCACCACTTTTCTCTATCAATGATTTGAAACCTACAAAATTGTTTGTGAGTAAAGCTATGTTGCACTATCAACTTGAATTATCTCTAACTATGAACGTGAATTCGTTTACATTTCATTTTGGTTTGATTTGTTTCTATAAGGAAATCAATTCTCAACTAGTCATCAATCAACGGTTTCGACATAGCAACTACATTAATCACACGATTCACCGCTTTGGCAATCACATACACTTTTGTTTTCACTATATTTATGTTCCTCCTTCATTATTATGTTTTCTTTCATATTTCATTTTGATATGATTTGTCTCTGTAAGGAGATCAATTCTCAACTAGTTATCAATCAACGATTTCGACATATTAACTACATCAATCACACGATTCACCGCATTGGCAATCACATACACTTTTGTTTTCATTTATGTTCCTCCTCCATTATGTTTTCTTTCATTCTTTGATTCATTCTCCTCTCTTCGTTGTCCTCTTGGAGTTAGTCTAGGGCTGGTAATCGGTACGGTACCGGTTAACCGATAACCGGTTAGCCGGTTATCGGTATACCGAAACCTCCCAAATGGCTGCCGACAACCGACACCGGGTGGAAACCGGTTAACCGGGTTACCGACTAACCGGCTAACGGTTAACAACCCGGTTACCGAATTACCGGCAACTTCAATCGTCACCATCAAACTTCTTCCTCTCCCTGTCGCAAGCCTTCGACTCCCCAGTTCCCTTCGACTCCCTAGTTCTCTCTTCCAAGCTTTTCCTCAGCAAGCCTTCGACTCCGGCTCCTCTTCCTCCTCTCCGTAGGCATGCTCATCCTCTTCACCTGGGCAAACCTCCCCACCAACCTCCGATCGGAATCTTCCCCCGCCTTAGTTCCGGCTGCTCTGCCTCAAATCCCTCCGCATGCAAATCCAATCTCCATCTCTTCGACTCTCCAGTTCTCTCCTCCAAATTCTTCCCTTCTCTAATCGCCGCCCACCTCCTCTCTTTCTCAATCTCCCCACCTGTCGTTGCCGCTGCCGCAATGGAGAGGCAATCTTGTTGATTCGCCGAAATCAGATTCAACCCTGGAGATTTAGATTCGTCGATTGAAATAGTGTCTGGCTGCTGCTCAAGCGCAGAAACAATCGATGGAATCCTCTGTCTCCGTCCAACGCGTGTTCCGTCGTCGCCATCCAATGTCGGTCTCAGATCTGGATTGAGAAAGCCACCGCTTTCAATCCGCCGGGAACGTTATGCAACTGAGGCATGGCGGAGGGTGGTCGTTGACTGATTGGTGGTGGGTTGTCACCGACTACCGCCACGGCATCTCCCTCGCCTTCCTCCTCGCTTGGGTCGCCGGGTGGGTTATCTCTCCCCTGCCCTCTCAAATGTTCAATTCAATTGAAACTCTAATGATTTAGAAACCTGTGTTATGGTTTCTTTCTGGGCAGGAGAAGAATGACGGTGGCGACAAAGACGAAGAAGTCGTCGGGAAAAAAGAAGATAGGTTGGACACGACAGTCCCACCACCATTCTCCAATTTTGAGCTCCGGCCTCTTCGACATCATCACGGCCAGATACAACGAAGAAGCGGAGAAGAAGCTTCAAGCTGTGAATCTTCAAACCACTGGATTCTCATTCAATTTTGGGTTTTTCAATTATTGGTTGCTGTATCCCTTGGACCTCCGATTATTGGTTAATTGTTATTGTTATTTGGGGATTTTGGTGGATTGAAAGGTGAGAAAGATGGGGAAGAAAATAATTTATCGGTCTGGGTTTTCCAAATTTGTTCGTCGGTGGCAGAGGGGTAGGAAGAAGAGAAGACGAAGATGGGTTCGGCGCGGCGTGAGAGTGGTAGAGAAAGGCAGGTTGGTGTCTGGTTGTAATATGATTTCGGATATCCGGTATACCGAGTAACCGCCGGTAATTTACCGAAAAGGAGCCGGTATACCGTGTGGTGTATTGTGACTACCGCCAACCGGTACCGCCAGTTACCGGTTTTACCGATAACCGCCGGTTACCGGTTCGGTTGTCGGTTAAACCGTTAACCGGGATACCGGTTACCAGCCCTAAGTTAGTCCACCTTTTATGGACCTTCCACTCTTTTGATGAATAAAATCAAGTACACATTCATAAAAAAGACCAAGGATCTCAACGTTGTAATTTGAGACAAATATCTACCTCCTTCACTCGGGGTGATAATTTCAATTAGCATTGTGAATATGGGTTTGTCCTGATTGTAATATTACTAGTTTGAACCTAAAAAATCTCAGATTTGAACCCATTGAATTACCCTAATTATAATAATTAAACATCAACTTATATCACCTTGTCAAGAGAATTTGGATAATTTTAAGCACAGTAAAAAAAAATTAACGGGTTAAGCACAGTAATTTTGAAGTAGATTGTGGGGGTTAATCCCACATTTGGTCATTGTGATTACTAAATTGTCCCACGTTTAGTCACTAAAAAAATTTAATATCAAATTTGGTCACTTTAATTACTAAAACAGGTCATATTTAGTCACTCTCCGTTAGTCTCTGTCCAACTCCGTTAATGTTGGCCGTTATGTGCTGACATGGCTAACGGGAGCACCTAGTCAGCATCATTTTGACCCGGGAATGGTCAACCCCGACCCACCACGTCACTAAACCCGCCATGTCATACATCCAACCCAACCCATTAACCCAACCCGACCCATAACCAAACCCAAGCCCGTCACCACCACTAACATACCTACCTGCCGTCCCACCACAACTCCAACCACCGGCCTCTGGCGACCACATCGGTCGGAAGCAACCCGACGACTCCCCGCCTCAAGACTCACTCCTTCTCCAGCCCAGTCTTGCATTGTCGTACATCTTCTCCCTCCAATCTCGGTACTAGTACCACAACCGCAACATCAGAAGACAACCATGCCCTCCATTGCATAACCACCCAGAATACTCCTAGGGCCACCACGGCGAAGCTCACTGCAGCTAGCCCGAAGCCCAACCACAACTCCAATCCTCCCTCTCCTTGATCTCCTCTCAATTTATGTCTCTTCAAGGAAAGCTTTAAGTTCAGAGTAAGCCCCTTCTTTTAAGCCCCTTCTTTTTTCTCCTTTTGATTTGGGTGAAATTCTTGCGACTAGGATCTGGAATTGAGGAGAAGAGGTTTGTAATGGTGGAATCTCCATCGCTATCCACAAGAATCTCCATCCTGACGCCGCCAGCAACAATGTCAAGCCTAAAATTGAGGAGAAGAGTGCTGTAATGGTGGAATCTTCACCAGAGCCGTAAAGCAGGAGTCGCCGCCGCCGCTTCAGCAGCATCCATTGATGCCTAAACTGTCCGACTTGAGGTCTTATGATAACGAAGAGCTGCGATGGGGGAATCGATTTAGGGTTTCGTCCACTGCTGCCGGCGCGCGATGGGGGAAGCTGGCGAAGGTGGATTTGAGGGTTTCGTTGTCTGCTGCGATGGGGGAAACTAACGACAGCGCGCGACGACGAAGAAGAAAACAATGCTACTTCGAAGAAGGATCCGGGACCAGGGGATCAAGGGGGTAGCGTGGAGCTCTTCATCTCTCCCTGGAGTTCAATCGAAAATGGCTGAACCTAGAGGAAGGAGATAGGTTTTTGGTGTGAAAATTGGATTTTTCAATTTTGTTTTGTTAGGCGGGCTAGGGTTTGGTTCTGGGTCGGGTTTGGTTCTGTGACATGGCGGGATTAGTGACATGGCGGGTCGGGTTTGACCATTTTTGGGTCAAAACGGCGTTGACTAAGCACTTCCGTTAGCCACGTCAGCACATAACGGCCTCTATTAACGGAATTGGACGGAGACTAACGGAGAGTGACTAAATATGACCTGTTTTAGTAATTAGAGTGACCAAATTTGATATTAACTTTTTTTAGTGACTAAATATGGCACAATTTAGTAATCACAGTGACCAAATGTGTCATTAACCTAGATTGTGGGGATACAAATTACTCCAAGAATACCAAACTCTCCAACAAAGAGACAAATAATGGCCACTTTCCTTGGTTCCTCTCTTAATCACATGCATCGCATAATGGGGCAGATTTGGACTTCACTATGAACAGTCATTTTTGGTTCCTTTCTGGCCATTATCTCAAGTTTCCCTTCCAACACGTACCCCCAAATTCTAAGAAATGTGCAATGAACCAATGCTACTTCCATGTCATTATCCCCCTTTCGTTTCTTAGTGTTGGGACTTAAAAGGGACGAGTGTATACGTACGATAGTCCGAGACAAAACCGATTTGATTTGGTTAGTTCGGTTTAACCAAATTTTCAACATTTAGGACCTTTTTAAATTACAAATTTTGATGATGATATAGCATTTGGTGTCAATACTTATCCATACCAGGTTATGTGTTGGTCGCAAAAGTCATCCATAACTGTGTTACTAGAACTAAATTGACAAGTACATGATTTTGAAATGGTTTGCAGAATATAGTTCGGAGAAGATGTTTTATCGACAGATCTTATAATTATGTCATCCAATATGTTAATCACATATATCTTTCATATGTGTACGTCTACATTACAATGATTCATGTATTTGAGTGAAATTTTTTATATTTTTTTTATGTCCAACGGGAGAATAATTTTGCAGCAATTCATCTTATTTATCATAATCACGAGACAAATTTAGATTATCACATTACATATACCATTTTAATTTAGTACCAGTTTTCAACAAAAAAAATAAAATAAATCCATAGAACAAAGTGAAAAAAGGATAGCAAACAACAAAACCGACATTAAATTCCAAAATGTGAATGTGGCATTAGAGCCCTCCAAAAAAGTCGTTGTTTCTTAACTTGCTTTTCCACTTCCACTACAAACAACTTTTTCTCCGCTTTCTGTTTCCTTCTGTCTTCCATTCTCATTTCTCACATCCTTCACTAATCTTCTCCCCACCATCCGCCATCTCCAAATCCCCGCAAAACCCCAAAAACCAGCAACCCCATCTTCCACACACATTCAACTCTGCTCCAGTTCTCCATCTTCAATTCCTCATACAACAGAAACAGAGCACTCTGCTCCAGTTCTCCATCTTTAATTTCGCACACAACAGAAACAGAGTAATGGCCTCTGCAAATTCTCATCCTAGTTCCCAGTGAGACAAATCCAAGCAAAAGAAAGAACCCATCCTTGAATTTGAACAGAAACAAAAAAACAAAAACATGGGTCTCTCTCTTTCCCCCTTCTTCTCCATGGGTCTGCTCTTACTCTCACTATGTTTGACCCCTCACCTAGCTTCCGCAAACACCGAGCTACGAGCTTTAATGGAGCTGAAATCGACACTCGACCCAACCAACAAGCTATTAAGATCGTGGAACCCCACCGGCGACCCTTGTACCGGTTCATTCGAAGGCGTCGCCTGCAACGAGCATCGCAAAGTTGCCAACATCTCCTTACAAGGAAAAGGTCTCTCTGGTACACTCTCCCCTGCCATCGCCGAGCTCAAATGCTTATCCGGCCTCTACTTGCACTACAATTCCCTTTCTGGGGAAATCCCCAGAGAGCTAACAAATCTCGCAGAGCTTTCTGATCTTTACCTCAATGTCAACAATCTATCTGGAACCATACCTCCGCAGATCGGCAACATGGCAGCCTTACAAGGTCTGTGAAAAATTCCCTTCCTTTTCTTGTCGGCTTTCTTCTCCAAGATTCCAGCTTTAATACAGAATCTCATGAAAATGTTATCTTTTTGGGTGGATAGTTATGGATCTGTGCTGCAACCAGCTGACAGGGAATATACCTTCGGCGATTGGCTCCTTGAAGAAGCTGAGCGTTGTAGCATTGCAGCACAACAAGCTAACCGGCGAAATTCCTTCCAGTTTATCCAACTCCTTAACTTTGACCAGGCTGGATTTGGGGTTCAATTCTTTGTCCGGCGGAATCCCAATGGGAGTAGCTCAAATCACGCAACTGGAGCTTCTGGATGTCAGAAACAATTCCCTCTCAGGAATCGTCCCTTCTGGTATATACTCCCCTGTTTCTTTCTATCTTGTCCTTCCCATTTAGTACTCTGTTTAGAACAAAACTGACTTCTAAGAATCCCGCTTTTGTTGAAGCTTTACAGAGAATGAACGAAAGTTTCCAATTCGAGAACAACCGAGGTTTATGCGGCAATGGGATTCCGGGACTAAGAAAATGCTCTGCTTTCGACAATGTGAATATCAATCAAATCGGCGGACAGTCGGGACCTCTAATAAACGATACATTGTCGAGACAAACCCCGGAGGAGAAGCCGGTGATCGTTGAGCCCAAATCACAATCCAAATCCAAATCCAAATCTTCCCTCAAGCTTCCACAGGTCGCAATAGTCGCGGGAGTAATAATCATCACGATCTCACTCATCAGCTTATGTTTTGTGATCGTTTTCCGATACCGGAGGCGAAAACAGAGGATTGGGAATGCATCCGAGTCTCCTGACAGCCGCCGTTCGAGCAGCGATCAGACCAAGAAGGAATTCCAGAGGGGGAGCAGCATTTCTCCACTAGTGAGCCTGGAGTATCCCAATGGGTTTCATTTACCGGAAGAAAATCAGAATCTCAACAGCTTCATGTTCAATTTAGAAGAGATCGAGTCTGCCACACTCTGTTTCTCTGAAGCGAATCTGTTGGGGAAAGGTAGCTTCTCCTCTGTCTACAGAGGAGTACTGAGAGATGGGTCTGTCGTGGCAATCAGGGTGATCAACATGACAAGCTGCAAGTCGGAGGATTCCGAGTTTGCAAAAGGAATGAGCTTGCTTACTTCCTTGCAGCATGATAACCTGGTCAGGTTGAGAGGATTCTGTTGCTCGAGGGGGAGAGGTGAATGTTACCTGGTTTATGATTTTGCTCCAAGAGGGAAGCTTTCGAAATATCTTGAAGCAGAGGAAGGGAGTGGGTTGGTGCTTGATTGGTCCACTAGGGTTTCCATCATCGATGGCATTGCTAAAGGTACAATCTTTTTTGGTTTTCCTAACAATATTCCTTACATTCAACAAATTCCTTACATTCAACAATCAATTCGCAACGGCCAATGATTTTGTCTCTCTTATTGTTTTGAACAGGCCTTGGTTATCTGCACAGAACAGAAGGAAGCCGGCCAGGGATCATCCACCGGAGCATATCGGTGGAGAAGATTCTGCTCGACCGGCAGTTCAACCCTTTGATCGCCGATTCAGGGCTTCCCAAACTTCTAGCAGATGACATCATTTTCTTGACTCTGAAAACTAGTGCAGCAATGGGGTATCTGGCTCCAGAGTACATAACAACTGGAAGCTTCACGGAGAAGAGCGACGTCTACGCATTTGGAGCCATCGTCCTCCAAATCCTCTGTGGAAGAAGCATGCTCCCTACCTCCATGAGGGTGGCCGCTGCTTCATGTCAATACGAAGATTTCATCGACAAAAGCATACAAGGGAAATTCTCGGAGCATGAGGCTGGGAAGCTGGCACGCATTGCTCTTCGTTGCACTCACGAGCTGCCAGAGGAACGGCCAGACATGGAAGCAGTGATTGAAGAGCTGAACAGAGTCCACGAACTTGCTTCTTCTTGATTTGCATCATCATATTTGTTTGCTGTACCCTTCAATGTTCTTGGTGAGAAGAGAAAAAGATGAAAAACAGAGTTTAGCTGATGGATGAAAGATAGTTTCAATGTTTAGATTGGTCATCCATCCACGTTATTATGTAAAGAGTTGTTTGGATTGTGCATTTGTGAAGGTGGATTGCGCACACAATTCCGTTTTTCGTACAAATACATCGCTTGGCCATACAAAAGATAGGGTTTGCTGTTGTAACAAAAAGTAAAAACATGATATGATATAAACTTCTATAAAGCTTCTAGATTCTTGGTGAAAGAAAACAACGAGAATAGAGTTTAAGTACAACAATTCTTGGCTAAGCTATGCGCCAACTTTATTTCCATGTAAACAAAGGAATGCAAAACAAGTTTCCGGACCTGCCAGTAAAGTGGCAGAGCAGTATAAAGATTCCTAGAGAGTTCATAAAACAGGAGAGGCAGAGGAGTTTACTACTCTACATCTTATATGTTACCATTCTAAGCTACTGCACTCTGTTGATAATGCTCTGGAACCCATTCATGAGGCCACCATTTCGGTCTAAAAGCTTCGACCTTCACATCGTTTTGACCCTCTACGGCCAAAGAACCTGATCCTTTGAATGCATCATCCAATCTTAATAGACCGAGCCCTCGGCTGCCAATTGCTGTCGTCACGGATCCTATCTTTTTGCCTGACCCGGCGTCCATCACTTGAGAACCAGCAGAAACTCGCTGTTCCACCTCTGGGGAGAAGAAAAAAACATAGGGAAGTAGTAATACATTAGCAGAAAATAGCCATCCAATTGTCACTAGAGAAGCAAACCACTGATTAAACACGAGTCTAAACCTTTTCCATCGTCATTAACGAACTTCAAAGGAACCAAGCGTTTACGAATCACCCCTCTGTGGTGTGTCCTGGCCACAAGTTCCTGACCCACATAGCAACCTTTATCAAAGCTTATTGCATTTAATCCCACGAGGTTGAACTCAAGCGGAATCGCCTCGCCTTTGGGTATCTCGGATGAGCCTTCTGCGATTCCATTCTCGATTCTCCATAGTAAGTAGTTTTCCTCATTTGTTTCCTTATCAGCTTCAACCAATGGTGCTGCAGTAGAATCAGCAGTTCTGTCAACTAAGCATCAGGCTGCTCGATATCGATTAACATATGTCCTGATAATACGAAATACTCACGGACTGTATTAGTTGGGAAGATCCCTCTCAAACCAAGGCAATCCAGTCTAGGATCCTTGAACCACTGCCATCCACCATCACTTCCATGTGAAGCTGAAATACCAGCAAGATCAACACCAGATCCCCATCCAAGACTTGCTGTCCCTGGATCTTCTACTACACTAGATTTCTCGCCGACATCACCCCCGAATCGCTGCCAGCACTGAAAGTCTTCCCCTACATTCTCAATCTCAACCTTAGACCTTAGCCGGTACCTGTAAAATCAGTACCACCAAGCATAGCTCCTCAACATCATCATCAATCTACCACCATTTCCACAACACAATGAGGAGCATTCAGAAAGATTCAAGAACTCTACACCTAACGGAAGAAACTACCCTACAATTCTACAAAGCACCAAGATATAATCCAATGGTGTACAATCACTCCAGAGTAACCAACCCAAAGGGAAAACGGGAGCTGACCTTTTCAATGTTTGCAAGAGCTCATCAAGATCGGAAGCATCTACATCGGCGAACAATTCGGTCGACTCAGTGGATCCCGACCCGGGACCCGAACCCGTCGGGTCAAGCTTCTCAGCCTCCTTTGCGTGCCTGTAGAGAAAGAAATCGTACAGAAACCGGCCCTGGGGAGTCAGCAGCGCGGCGTACATCGGCGGCTCGGAGACGGAGGGCATGTTCGGAGTGGGGACGGTCGAAGTCCGCTCGTGCGGCGGCTCACCGAATTTCCGGACATCGTTGGTGAGCAGACCTTGAAGGAATTTGATGGTGTCGGGGCCGGAGAAGCGGATTACAGATCGAGATTTAAGGAGGGAGGCGAGGGGCCCGGCGGATTTCACGGCGCTGGAGTGGGAGCGGTGGCCGACGGCGGCGACGAAGGGTTTGAAAGAGCTGAACCGGCGCATTTTCTGACGACGTTTTGAAGGTTGAACTGTGGGGAGGAAGGGACGGTGGGGTTTCTGGAGGAAGCGAAAGAAGCGGAGGCTGTGAAAGTTAGGCTTTCACGAGCCACGTGGAGGTTCGTCGGTCCGTCGTTTGGAACACGTGGAGCTTTCAGGGACGCCAGCGAGAAATAGACGCCACCTCGGGATTCCTCGGTCGACGAAGCGTTTTATCTTGGCCGCCTTCGTTTTGCGGAAAAATGGGCTTAGACTTATTGGAATTTGTAAATGAATTGGGCTTTGTGCAATTTAAGCCCAATTCATTTAATAAATGCCATGGATCTTGACGAAAACGAGCAGGCCCCAGTCCAACTGGACTGGGCCATTTAAACTGGGAGTTGATATTGTCGAGTGGCTTCTGGAATGGGGCCTTGGAAATGGTTGTGCAAAAGACAAATTCTATTGATTAAATTTGTAAGACTTCCAAATTCGAATACTTGCGGGAATATCAACTAATAATCGGTTTCCTAAAAAAATATCTCAATTTAACAGAAACCATTCATATATATTGTATACAAAAAATAAATATAAAATATATATTTTAAACAATATAAGTATAGCAACAACTAACAATCTCACAAAAAGCAATTGCAACTTTCACTAATAGTCAATGTCCACCGTCTCGCTAATTATCTGCAACTCAATTCACACTTTCAATTTACACATGCTATTGAAAGTTGGTCTATCAGGAAAATGGATAACCCTCCTTTCAATTCTAACTTGGAATCTATAGATTGAAAATCAACAATAAAATCATTAGATAAACTCCTCATTCACGTTATAGCAAGTGAGAGTTGGTCTTTTCACAGTGCTACTTTTACATTTGTTGCAGAATGAGCTTGCAAGTGTGTGGCCATACCATACGTATCCAACAACATAAATCCTCTAATTTAAGTGAAGTGGTGCTTCACATCATAAGTGGAGATGGAAGTTGTAGAGTAAGAAACCATATAAGGTGGTTAAATTAGGTCACCACTAATATGTCCCATGGCATATACTTGGCTCAGAATTAAAGTAAGAACACAGATATTGCCAGAGTCTTGTATTCTGTTTCCATTTTCCACAACCAACTGACGTTGCAATTACTTTTTACCAATGAATTCTGCTCGAAAAAATTAGGTAAACTCAAGAGACTACAGAGTGAACGGACAAAACACAAACAGTCATTATTATTACCCGGTCCCTTCATTTTTTGCATGCACGAAAAAATTTAGGTAAACGTTTGTTTGTTTGGTAATGGTGAATAGGTGATTGTTAACATCTAATAGAAAAAAGAAAATTTAATTTATTTATCATACGACATATTTATCATTAATAAGAAGAATTAGAGTGATTCAAGAAATATCAACGATTTATTGATAAGGATATTAGTGGGATAAATAAATAAAAATTAAGTCGGAGCAAGAAAACATCTAAAAATTCAAGATGTCGTGTATATTTGAGTGTGATATGAGAGATTTGATATATCTGTATTTTAGTGATTTGAAATCTCTTACACGAAAATTCATTATACAGAAAGCATGAAAAATATAAATTTTTGTCGAATCTATAAATTCACTGAATTCCTTATACAAATTCTTTTCTCCAAAACGGCCATCAGTGTTGCGGTAAACGAAAGAGGATAAAGAGGAAAAACAAACTCACAAAATACAACAAGATTGTACCGGATTGGATCAATATTGACTATGATATTTATACTCATTGATTTGAGTATGTACTTACAACTTAAAAAGACCGACCAACGTCGATTGTTATAACTGTTGAATACACATAGTGCTACGTAATTGTCGAACATAATTCGCAAGAAAATAACTAAGTAAATAGTAATATAGAATTACTAACAATAAGCTAGATGACCACTACTTAACTTTGTCAAAAATCATCGAATGCTTTTTTGTTTTTTTGTTTGAGAGAGTGATTAAAGCTCATGATTTCCCCCCGAATCAATTAGAATGACAAGTTGGGATTAACATTGATAATTGTTTAAGGCGGGTGGTTTTAATTTCAATATATGCTGACGGTCCAGCTTGGTTGTGATTATCATTATGGTGTGCTTCTACTTTAAATGTCAACTCTTGTGTCTGTCTCGACCTATAACTTACTTCCACCGCCCCCTAATTAACAAATTAATCCTCCATTCTTTTATCAATATTTGCAATTGGGAAACGTTGGCTACGTATGTCATCTTATGATGTTAAACAAAGAGGTTGATATTGATACACAATACAATATTTTTTTAATCTTAAAACTATTAATTGAAAAACATAGGGAAAGCGTAGAAACAGTGAAATTATGATTCTTTTATTGTCAACGTAAACAACCAAATGAACAGGAAGCAGATTATACATATATGTTCAACGATTCCTTAAGAACAAGTGAGTCCGTGTTCCGCTGATTGGTTAGAGTAAAATATCATGTATCAAAAACTTTATGATTATATTGTAATCAAATTCTCTCTCTTCTCTAGAATCCATACATCTCTTATAAGTGTATGGACTGTTATCTCTCGAGCATAGGTTTAGGTTCGATCTCAATGGGAAAATAAAATGGAGCACCAAACAACGTATCTTCACAGAACAAGAACTAAGAGATCGCTCCTTTCATTCTAAAGCAACGGACAATTGCTCTTCCTTTTTGTTTTTCTTTATGTAAGGGTCACTACAAGAAAATTGACTTTCAGCTAAGCTTTATTGCCTCAGTAAGTGATTTATGTGCATCAATAGCCTAATAGCGGCACATACATGTGTGTCACCAATACTGCTGCCGCTAATTTTCTTTAGAGGCAAATGTTATATTTTTCGCTAGTTGATAAATTTGCGACTCATAATTTTGCTGCTAATTTCAGTTTTGAAATACCATTCTATTGTCACGTTTTCTAGCTTTAGTGACACACCAATATCCCGATAATGATATTTTAGGTGGAAATAGTGGTTCTTTTTATTTATGATTAATAGTGTATTTCATATATATTGTAATTTTTAAAGGCATATAACATATTAGTCGTATATAATATATTTTTAGAGGGAAATACTTTATTTGCCGCAAAGATTAGCCGCTAAAACCTATTTTTCTTGTGGTGATGATCATGGGGTGTCGTACTTAACATCATTAATTAAAAGGAAACTCATGTTCTGACTTTTTGGTTAAGACCAAGTACAATTGATAGATGCAAGTGGGTAGACACAAATTAATGATGTAATCATGCAAGTTAATCTTTGAAGAAAACAAAAAAAGAAGTAGCTAGCTAGCTAGTGGCATCTTCATTGGAAATCCGTACCGTTCCGGGGTTCAGTTCTCTCGTCATTGGGGCGACTTTAGCAACAACGGCGTTGACAAACGAGGGCAACGGTAGTTGTACGTTTGTACCACTCCAGTCTTACGGATGGAGTATTGCTGTTATATCTTTCAGCATCTGCCATGGCATCTACATGACAACAGACTGAGGTTATACGACAAAAACAGTCGGTTATACATATATATGCAATATTTTAGCGAACTGCTTGCTTTGACAATGAGGTTTTTGTGTTCGTATATATGTTAAACTACTGAAGCCAAACTCAGCTTTGAGAAGTTCCAAACTTATCCATTAGTGTATTATGTATACGATGAGCAGGTGGGTGGTTCAATTGTGGTTTGATCGTGAATATCCTGGATTGTTGTGAGTGAGTGATCATTGATGTATGTGAGTGGATCGTGGATCGATACATTTCATACTCGTATCTATTTTAGTGGATGGTGTGTGGGTTGCGAGTTACTGAGTAACTCACACCCCGCTTTCATATGACATAGGGTTATTTCTTTGTAATAGTACTATCGAAGGGACGTCATAATAATATCTAACCGCACCCCATATTGATCATTGACTTTTAAAGGTGGAAAACACATAATATCTTTGGACTAATAGTGTTGGTTATCATGTTGTAAAATGTCGATTGCGGATTACAAACGGTTTATTGTATCAAATTAAAGGGGCCAAAAGCGTCATTTTTCTCTATCGTTGGTTAATGGTATGGTAAGGAATTGATACATTTACAAAAGACGTGAAATCCGCGTGTGCGTAAAGAGTCGTTGTCTCTGCGGATCCATGGTTGATGACTTCCATTTTTCTTTCAATGTTTACTTCATCGAAAGTGACCGGTCAAATGAATGTTGGTATGAGAATTGGAAACTTTGCACGTCATAAGTACTAGTCGAACTCACGTGAGACAAAGCTTGAGGTGTTTAAATTGTTACTATCTCCCTAATTTGCAAAGAATTTATTGAAAATATCAATCCACTTGCGTGCATAATGGCTGGTCAAATAATTGATGTTTTGGTTAACCCACAACCCAACCATATATACCCACCCACTCGTCACCTACCCCACCTAATACAAAAAAATATTGCTCGTAGTGTTACCCCAGAGATGAATGCCAGTCTTACGGTTGAAGTTCTCCCTGCCGAGGTGCGTAAAACGGTGTTTGCTATGGGGTCAAAGCAGGCGCCAGGGTCGGATGGATTCACTGGTAAATTTTTTAAGGCCTTCTGGGATATTGTGGGTGAGTCGGTTGTTGCGGCAGTGTGTTCCTTCTTTGCTACGAGTCGAATGCTACGTAGTTTCAACCATACGTGGCTCACACTGATCCCCAAGGTCGATAATGTGGAATCCATGCAGCAGCAGCGTCCAATCAGCTTATGCCAGTTTGTTTATAAAGTCATTACTAAGATTATGGTGGAGCGTCTTGCCTGCCTTTTGCCGAGGATTATCTTAGAGGGTCAAAACGCGTTCATCCCTGAACGTCAAATTGTTGAGAATATTCTCCTGGGACATGAGTTAATGCATTATCTAAAAATAAAAACGCGGGGTAAGAAAGGGTTCATGGCTCTAAAGGTTGACATGGAAAAGGCCTATGATAGAGTCGAATGGCCATTTCTCCTTGCGGTTTTGGATAGGATGGGCTTTAACTCTATCTGGCAAGGGTGGATTCGAGAGTGTCTCCGATCCTCATCTTTTTCTGTTATTATGAATGTGACTCCTTCAGGGTATTTCACTCCTTCCAGGGGGTTACGGCAAGGGGACCCTCTCTCCCCTCTTTTGTTCGTGCTTTGCACCG